GGGAACATCCAGTCTAATCTTGAGCTGTCAGGATAGGTTTCCAGAAGCATCTTAGTGGAGCTAATGGATAGATGTATGGGCTAGGCAAAGCAGGAAATGCTACATCACCTCCCTAAAGAGCCTCCACAAGGCCTTGAAAGCCACATGCGAAAACTGGGGTTGGGGGAGGAGGGGGAGTATTACATTATTTCATGTGGCCCGTGGTAGCAGGTAAGCACATTCCCTGGCACTGGCGTGGAGGTCAGAGGACAACTTGCAGGAGTTGGTTCTCTCCTCCTACCATGTGGGTCTCAGAGATCAAATTTAGGTTGTCAAGCTTGGCAGCAGTTGCCTTTATATGCTGAGCCATCTTCCTGGCCCACAATTCAGTTTTCATCCGAAGGCAGAGTGGGTATCATTAAAAAGTAAATGATACGAGGGCTGACTGCTGAACGGACACAGGTTCCTTTGGGGACTTACTGGGAAAAATTTTGAAATCAAAATGGTTGTATGCACTGCACATATTAAAGCCACTGAAATGCATAGTTTGAAACAGTGACTCTTGGATGTTAACTCAGTTGATAGTAAGTAGAGGGTGCTCTCTATTCTAATCAAGGTTAAGTAGCAGGGGCCAGGTTTATCCTACTGCCTGAAACAACTTAAAAGACAAAATATATTAAAACAATCACTTCCAAGAGAGTGGGCATCACACAATGAAGGACAGGATCTGGGAGGATAAGTGGTGGGCCTGGTGACTGTCCTACCTTACTTTGAGAGGAGCAAGAGGAGGCAAGGCAGAGCACAGGGGACTGTGTAGGAAGTCTGCGAGGAGTAGCATTGGGGAGGAAGAACCGCACAGATAGCCCTGCAGAGCCTCTCCACAGACCCACCAAAAGGACCAGGTCACACAGGGCCAGGTCACACTACCAGAGCTGGTCACACTACCAGAGCTCACACAGGGCCAGGAAGTGTCAGTTCCCACCAAGTATGGAAAAACCTCATAATTCACAGAGCAACGTGTTTAGTCCTAAACAGCCTTATACTTCCATAGTGAGGGAAACGAGCCTGGGCAAAATGCTACACTGATCTTGCCTAACAAACTTTAAGAGACTCAAATCGTTAGGTAATTTAACCATACTCTGGAACAAAGTTTAAGAATATTTATAGAGATATAAAAATATTCAGCACACAAAGTTTTAAAAAATCATGCAAAGTGGGAGGAAAATATCAAAAAACAAAACACTAAGCATTATTAAAGCCAACTTGAAACCCACAGAGGTGGGAATTAGCAGGCATGAACCAGTAGGAAACAACTGAATAAACAGCATACCTGCTGGAAGCAGAATTATCAGTGGCTTCAGAATAGGTGGAAAGATGTAGAGGCGGCCAGGGCAGCCCGCAGATTTGTGCAGGACTGAATGCCTATTTAGGTAGAAAGTCCAGCACAGCACAGACTCACATCAGCAGCTCCACTTTAGAGACAATAGATTGGAGGTTGCGAGCAACTACTGATAGAATTCGTGTTCAGGGAAGAGACCCGGGCTGGAGGTATAAATGTGGCGTCACTAGCACACACGTAGTATTTGAAAGAAACCACACCGAAGTTTGTAGAGTGAGAAAAGGTTATAACTGAGCTCTTACAACCAGCATTTCAGTGAAAGAGGGAAGTCCACAGCTAGAGAAGGATGTGGAGATGACTTTTCACTGATGGAGCAGTACAGGAAGCTAGAGCCAGAGAGAGGAAGGGAGAAATGGGATGGATTCAGGAGGCACCACAGAGCACAGAGAGGGACTGGCCTGTGAGAGCAGAACGGCCACCTCTGAGGCTAGAAGCATGTCTGTAGTCGGTGGTAGCAAGACAGGGCATCCCTGCCAGCTCCTAGGTCCTCCACTAGGCAGGAGAACAGTGTCCAGAGAGGCAGGTAGATGGAGAAAGGCAGATGTTTTAAAAATAAAGGTATAAATAAAGTGTCTTCAACAGGTGCCAGAATTTAACCGCAAAAATATCAAGATAAAAATTGTCAAGTTCAATCTGGCAAGATGGCTCAGTGGGTAAAGGCACTTGCCACCAAGTCTGATGTCCTGAGTTCAGTGCCCAGAACCCACATGATGAAAGGAGAACCAGTTCCCCCAAGTTGTCCTCTGACCTCCACAAGTGCACCATGGCATGTGCCTGCCACCCCTACACACACACATGAAAACAAGTTTAAAAATGAAATGTTCAAATTTCAATGCACAGTAAGCACATTGCAATCTCATTAACAACGCATGAAAAGATCAGCTCCCTCCATGCTCAGTGCCAACTGGGAGACAGTAACAGGTCAGACTGACTAGTTCCCTTGTTCCCAACCCACATGAGACAATTTTCCAAAATTTCTGTATTAAAGCGTATGAAAACCAATCAGATTTACACTTATCAGTGATCCTGAGACCTAAGGATGTTAAACGCTATCTTCTCCCTAAACTCAACTGTCTGCCTTTCTACTAATTCTAGAAATGCAGTCTGATTCAGTCATACTTGAGGAAAATTTTAAAGTCACATCAATGGCTACAGGCATTCCTAGTATTTCACGCTTAACACCTGTTTCTTCTAAAGGCAAAGGGCTTGAGTTCTAATGACTATAACCACTACAGGTGTTTCATAGGAAAGACTTCTTATACAGCTGAGTAGTACCAAATACAGCCAACTCTATGGCCCAAGTAAGTATTAGAGGGGTAGGAAGGCTAGGTCTGACAAGAGCAGAGAGAATACCGGTTTCCCTTTAGGGCCATCCGAATTAGGCTCTGTGGGACAAAAAGCCCACATTCCACTGCAAAGATGGCAGACAGGACTCTACCAGCAGCCCTGCAAGGCTGGAACAGGCACTAGTATTGTAAATCTGCTTCTCATCTGAGAAGCTCCAACACCTCACATAAGCAAAACTGCAACTTTTAAATAGTAGGAAAAGATTGTTTTAAAACTATCATGTATTCCTGACCAGCCCCCTCCCCCAAAAAATAAAAATAAAAAACCGCCAGGTACGGTAGCACACACCTTTAATCCCAGCACTCAGGAGACAGAAGCAGGTGGATCTGAGTTCAAGGCTAGCCTGGTCTACATAGCCATTCCAGTCTACTTTCCAGGCCAGCTGGAGCTACAGGGAGACCCTGTCTCAAAAATACCAAAAAGTAAAAAGTGAAATAAAAAACCATGGACAACCATCTGCGATCTCTATTTTGGTTGTGATCTCAGATTTGTGGCCAAAATGAAACAGCCGGGATGATGGTGCAAATCCCAGCTCTCGGGAGGCACAAGCAAGCAAAACTGATGAGATCCAGTACAGACTGGTCTACATATTGAGTTCCAGGCCAGCTGGGGGTAAAAGGAGACCGTTTCAAAAGAAAAAACGGGGTGGCGGGGAAGAAAAGCTGGGAAACTCTAGCCTCACTTGTGCCATGTTAGAGGTCACAGGACTTGGCAGTACAAACCATTCTATTTATGTATATATACCTCTATATGGTCACGCTGGTAATGATTGCTTAAGTTTGATTTAGGAGTTTAGGGGTCTTTTGAGTAGCTGGGGAGATAGTGGATAAAAGTGCCTGCTTGTCCAAGCGTAAGAACTTGAATTCAGATCCCTAACACTTGTGTAAAAGCCAGGCCAGGCAACAAGCCCTGTAACCCCTGCTGGAGAAGCCAGCCAGTCTAACTCAAACTGAGCTCCAGGGTTAGTGATGGGCCGTGTCTCAAAAGGTAAAGAACCAGATGTCAACCTCTGGTCTCCACACACAGGCAAGTACACCTATACATACATACACATAAAATGTGTATGTGTGGTGCTCGAATTATAGCCAGGACCTTGATTTTTATCTGAAAACCACCTACATTTACAGGTATCAAATGGATGACCATGTGACAAAGGACAGAAGATTCCACTCTCAGATCACACCAACATAGCCATATTCTGAGCATGCATTCTGTGAAGTCACAAAATTCTGACTATGCATACCCAAGACCAGAGGATTTCACTTTCCCCTGTCCCAAGCACCTTCCTCCCAGGCTTTTGACTACTCTTTGTTTTCGTAAGAATCCTTAACACCCTATTAAGTAGACTGAGGGACTGGAGGGATGGCTCAGCAGTTAAGAGCACTGGCTACTCTTATGGAGTATAGGTTCGGTTCCCAGAACATACATAGCAGCTAACAAAATAACTCCAGTTTCAGAGGATCTGATGTCCTCTTCTGGCCTCCACAGGCATTGCAAAACATGGATGCATTTACTTACATGTAGGCAAAATACTCATACAAATAAGACAGATTTGGGACTCCCCTTTCTTCAGGACTGGCACCCTGTGAATAAGCTTTCCCTTGTGCAAAGGTTGTCATTTCAGTGATTGGCATGCTGTGCCAGTGGGCAACATGTAGCTCATTTGCAAAGATACCAGCTCTATCATTTTCTATCTCTCGGTACCTTTGTAAAATCAGTGCTTCTACGTCTCACTATCCTCATCTGAAAAATAATGTAGGCATTAAACAACAACACTTACTGTTGTTACAAATACTAAATGTCTAAGACTGGAGAAACAGCAGATTCCTATTCTAAGTAAATTATCTGCAGTGATCTTCAAAGTACATAAATTGAAGATCCCAAAGAGGTTGATTTTGCAGAAGATTTAGAGCCTTTCAAATCCTGATTACTCAATACTGAGTCTTAAAGTCATTAGAACTAAATAGAACCAGCGATAAACAATGCCTAGCAATAAATACTTAATGAGCTGGAAGTGGCTCTTCTAATTAAGAGATCTAATATGTCACTAGTTCATGCCCACTAAAAGACAATAAAGAACACATTGAAGGGTATACTCTAAGGAAAACAGTAGCTTCTAAAATAAGCCATAAAGCAAACTTTAGGGTTTTCAGATTAAGGCCTTAGAAATCAAACTTGTGTGTCAGATTATACTCTGGTCTACTGCCCACTTATGCAAACCTTCGTGCTGCTTTACTTCCAAGAAATATCATACTATTAATAAAAGTCGACGACGTACACACAAAAATGCTTTATTAATACAATATGCACAAACACTAAAGGAATAGGTTTAAATATCTGTATCATAAATAGGCGGCAGTTCGACATCCAGGGTGGAGAGAATGCTGGAGGTGGACTGCAACGGACCTAGAAGAAGAGGGATTGTCTATTAGCAGCTGTCCACACATGCACTAAATTTGCAGTTTTCCCCTTATCCAAAGAATCCCCCAGAAATGCATACTTGAAATGCAGCTGTGGCCTCAGAATTGAACTTCATCAAGAAATGGGTCTGACAAGTACCTAAACCTGCTGTTCTTGTCTCACTGAATCAGCAGTGTACCTACCAGTCCTCTCCTCACAGCAGGCAAAAATCACTGACAGTGGCCTCTGACCTTAAGCTTTTGGCAGTAAGAAGGTATCGTCATTTTAACCTGGAGTTCATTTCCATCAGGTTTACAACAGACTTCAACTTACAGCCTAAAGAAACTATATTAAATTTAATCTTCTGCTATAATCTAAGACTGACCAAATTCCAGAACTACTTCATTTCACCAGGCCATTTGGGACTAAAATGCAATACCAATTGAGAGGAGCTTTTATTCTGAAACACTCCCACTGTGGTTCAGAAGACAGACACTGTTCCTAGGCTCCTGTACAACTGTGACCCCTGCCCCCCAGCAATGCAAATATTACACAAATAGGCTGCTCACAGCCCTTCCAGAGAGAGGGCACTGGCTCACTTACCAGACTCCCATGGCAGAAAGGGGGTCTTCACAGGGGAAGGAGGGTCCAGGTGCAGCAGCTTCTCAAGTCCTCTCTCCTCCTCCAGGATCATGAGAGGCACTCCACTCAAGGGGAGGTGTGCAATCTGGTGTTCCTCAGGCAGGTCAAAACTCTCAAAATCTGTCTCAAAGGGAGGAATGATGTCAGGGCAACACTACTCCCACTCAGTGCAGACAGCTGAACCCTGGATGTCTGACCCTTTCTGGGCATCTACGAGGTCAAAAGTATTTCAATAGCATTAATCCCCTTTCTGTTGTGTGGACGTCTTGTAGGGATGATGGGAAGGCAATGTAGACATAACTGCTGGAGCTTCAGCCCAAGGCAGCAGCAGTGACCTACAGTCACTATATTCTTCACTGTCACTTGTAACCAAAACCAGTCAATTTAATCACAGGCAGTTAGTAGCTACTACATTACTACTTTTGTCATTCACAGTGAAAAGTCTAATTTTAACAGCTCAACTTGTCTCCTTGTTAGATTTCTATTGCTGTAATAAAATACTCTGACCAAAACTAACTTGGGGAAGAAAAGGTTTATTTGGTTAACACGTCCTGATCACAGTTCCTCATTGAGGGAAGTCAAGGCAGGAACCTGGAGGCAGGAACCGAAGCAGAGATAATGGAGAAGCGCTTACTGACTTGATCTCCTGGCCTGTGCTAGGCCTGCTTTCTTAAACAACCCAGGACCACCTGCCCAGGGACGTCACTGCCCACAGTGGACCGAGTCCTCCCACATCACTCAACAATCAAGAAAATGCCTCACAGACATGTCCACAGGTCAATCCAATAGAGGAAATTCCCCAATTGAGGGTCCTTTATCCCAGGTGTCAAGTTGACAAACTATGCAGCACAACTGATCCCTTGTCAACTTGACATACAAATACATCACTATTAAACCATAGCCTTTCCATTTTTTTTCCTCAAGATCCCATGTTAATCGTAATATCACAATATGAAACACTGTACAACTTTAAAAGTCCCACAGTCATTAAAAATGCCAATACTTTAAAAGCTCAGTCTTTAAAAAATAATCCAAAGTCTCTTAATTGTGGGCTCCTGTAAAATAATAAATTAAAAGCTTCTTACTCAGGGCACAATCAGATCAAAGCTAAAGCAAAACCAAATCAGGGGCTGGAGATGGCTCAGCAGTTAAGAACACTGGTTGTTCTTGCAGAAGACCCGGGTTTGAATCCCAGCACCCACATGACAGCTAACTGTCCGTAACTCCAGTCCCAGGGGATCCAATAGTCTCTTCTGACCTCCACAGGCACTGCACGACATGGGTGCACTTACCTACATGCAGGCAATACACGCATACACATAAAATAAAAAATAATAAAAAAAAAAATCAAACAGTATAAATAGCTAGCTCACTGTCTGATGTCTGGGATTCACTCATGATCTTCTAGGCTGCAAAGGGCTTGGGTAGCCCCACCTCTGAGGCTCTGCCATCCACAGACAGTTTATCTCATAGGCTCACGCTGGTTCTACCTGACACCAGTCACTGTCCTTGGTGCTCATCCCACTGTCCTGGCATCTCTACTATATCCTGGTGTCTACCCTGCAACTGAGGCTGCACCTTCACACCAATGGCCTCTCCTGGCCTCTCACAGTGCCAAGTCGCAGATTCTCTCCATGAGCCCTTCAATCCCAGGGTCTCTACACCAAAAGTTGCACCTTCCCAAATGGCCTTTCCTGGCCTCTTCAGGGACTCTGCCCCTGCCACGTGATGCCAAGCCTCAGCTTCTCTCCATGACCCCTTCAATCCCACAGCTTACATGCTGCCAAAACCAGTACCACGTGGGAGACTCCTGCACAGCACAAAGTTCAGCTACCAGCTTGAGATGTAGCCTTGGCCCCTTCTAGACCATAGCATCTGTGTGCTGACCCTCAGGAAATACTTCTCAGATTTCACCTCAGTGATACTGATCTCTATCACAGCTGATTTTTCAGCTCCAACTAACCAGCATCAATTGTCCCAGTACAGCACAAAAGGTTTCACTTCCACAAACTCTGAGTTTGAGGCCAGCCTGGTCTACATAGTGAGTTCCAGCCCAGCTGGGCTGAAGAGATGGCTCAGCAGTTAAGAGCACAGACTGCTCTTGCAGAGGATCTGGGTTTAATTCCCAGCAACCACATGGTGGCTAACGACCACCTGTAACTCCAGTCCCAAGGAATCCAAGGGCTTCTTCTGACATCTTCAGACACTGCATAACATGGGTACACTCACAAACATGCAGGCAATACACTACACACAGAAATAAAAAAATTTTTTAAAAAAGCCCTTCAGTTAACAGGACAGAGTCTGGCTCAGATCCTCAAGGCCCCCTGGCCTGCCCCATGCCTCACTTTCACATCCCAGAACCACTTCAACCCTTTTTATACTCAGGTTCTCTGAACACTTTGCTCTATAGTGCTCTTCTTGCTCACACTCACAGGCAGATACTTGGTTCAGTGCGACTCTCCAAAACAGCAGGTTCTCTCAAGGCAGAGCTTGTGTTGCTAAACACTGCATCCCACACCTAAGAGTGTCTGGCTCACAGAAGCCTCTCCTGGAGGAGTAAATTGGTTCTTAGGTTAGGGAGATGGCTCAGCAGGTCAAGTGGCGTGCTGAGGACTTGAGTTTGGATCCCTAGCACACATGGGAAAGCCAGTCACTGTGGTGTGAGTCTGTAACCCTCATGCTGGGGGTAGGGTGGGGACTGGCACAGACAGACCCCTGGTGCTCACTAGCCAGTCAGTCTAGCCAGTCTAGTGAGAGACCCTTGTTTCAGAAAATAGGATGGAGAGCAACAGAGGAAAGACACATGACACCAATCTCTGGTCTCCATCCAAGCATGTACACACAAAATTAAATTAAAAAATGGTTCTTGGGCTGGGACTATACCTGAGTGACAGATCACTTGCCTAGAATACCCAAGGGCCTGGATTAGGTCCCTAGTCACAAAGAAAAAAAAAAGTCTGGTTCTATAGACATTTCAAGACAGTTGGCAGATTTTAAAAACGCATTTTCACTGACTGCATAGATTAGCCCTACCAAAGCCCTCTCAGGCATTGCCCACTTTCTAAAGACTTGTTGAAACCCTGGCCACACTGAGACCTTTTCACACATTTCCCCACACAGATGCTAAACTTTTGAGGCTGGAAACCACGTCATCAACACCTTTGCTCCCATTTCCCCTCCTGACCTAAAGCCATGCCTGGAAAATGATTCCACCTGAACAAGTCTATTTATTCAAAGCAACCCAGATTCAGACAGTCTCAACTGTAGTGTGGCGTCACATATTACAGTCACTTCAAGTTATAGCCAAGTTAGATTCCAAGAGAAACTAAAGGCTTCAAAGGCACTCACCATACCAAAATGGTATTACCTAGAGGATTGAAGGGAAAGAACTTCTCTATTTCTGGATAGGCATCATCAGAAGCAGGAACAGAGCTTTTTGCTTTAACTGTCTTCTCGGTGATCTAGAAAAACCCAAGAAAATATAGATCAGGGAGAATGGAAGTCTTGCCAACTGAATAACACATTAGATTACAGGGCCTCTTCAAATGATTGCTTCACCACATTCTAAAATCTGCCAATTTCATGCTGTCTCAGAAGTCACGATTCTTAGTTTTCATGATTAGATCTAAAAGAACCAACTACCATAGGTGTTGTCTGACCTCCACACTCCAGCCATGGCATGTGCACACTCACACTCATACGCACAGAAAATAAGTAACTTTTTAAAAGTTCTTCAGGGGCTGGAGAGATGGCTCAGCTGTTAACAGCACTGGCTGCTCCTCTAGCGGTTCAGCTCCCAGCACTCAAATGGTGGCTAACAACGGTAGGCCAGAATGGAAGCTGTAGCACTCTTGATCTTACCTCATGGTGTATAAGCCTAAAGGAAATTTCTACCACAGCTTTCCCACTTTTCTGTTCTGGGTAATATTCACATCATTTTTGCCATTAGAGATGGACACAAGAATTTGAGGGCCAGGGCAGGGAGGGAATAAGAATTTTGTTATACAGTCCAGGCTAGCCTCAAACCAGTGATCCTCCACCTTTAGTCTCCCAAGTGCTGGGATTACAGGTGTGTACCATCACGCCATCATGCCCAGCTAAGGTACTTTTAAAGACAGCTGAGCCAAAATTAAATTTCCAATCAAGGGGTTGAGAAGCCTGCAGTAGCATAGCACAACTCTCCTCTGTCCATCTGCTGATTTCTATTTACCTCCTACTCTGAGGAAGAAAACCAGGTAGAAAGTTAATTTATGTGTCTAAAGTGAAGTGGGATATATTGGGGCATGCCTTTAATCCCAACACTCAGGAGGCAGAGATAGGCAGATTTCTGAGTTCAAGGCCAGCTTCATCTTCATACGGAATTCCAGACCATCTAGGGCTATACATACAGAGTGAAACTGTCTCAATTAAAAAAAAAAAAAAAAAAAAAAAAAAGACAAAGAAAGGGCTAGAGAGACGGCTCAGCAGTTAAGAGCACAGCTACACTTCCAGAGGACCTGGGTTCAGTTCCCAGCACCCACAAGGTGCCTAAAAAACATCCGTTAACTCCAGTTCCAGGGGATCCGACACCTCTTCTGGCCTCTGCAGGATTACATGACACTGGTCCACTTACATGCAGGCAAACACTTATACAAATAAAAATTTTAAGATGCTAAAGTGTTTAAACATCGTCTTCATAGCCCATGCTTACCTTTTTCACAGTGAAAGTTGGCTGTTTTTGCTTCAGAGGTCTATTGGTCTTCAGTGGCTTTTCTGTAGCTCTGTTGACAGTTCCCAAAGCCTTTCTGCCAGTTTTAGGTAGGGCAGGTGGAGCATTGAATACTTTGCCAACTCGTGGTGTTGAAACCTGCGATTTCCCATCTAAGGCTTTGACTGCTGAAAAAAGAATAAGAATATTAGGGGCTGGCAAGAAGGCAGATGTCACAAAAACCTTCTGACCCAAGTTCAATACCTGGAGCCCACAACCACACAAATCAACAATGTGTCAACTCACACAAGTTGTCCTCAAGCAAAGTAAATAAAGGTAATATTAAAAAGTATTAGACACCTCAGGCTGGGCGCGGTGGTGCATGCCTTTCATCCCAGCACTTGGCAGGCAGAAGTCTGTGAGAGCGAGTGGAGGCCAGCCTGGTGGTCTACATAGTGAGTTCCAGCCAAGTCAGCTGGGGCTAAAGTGGATGCTGTGCATATCAACGTGACCTAATTCTCACCCCAAACCTGCTCATTTCTGGCTGTGGTTTAGTATTCTTAAGTAACCTCATTAAGGTATTAAGCATGGAGCTGGGGATGTAACTTAGTTGAAGAATGCTTGCCTAGCATTCGAAGTCCTGAGTTCCAACCCTCACACCGTATAAACCAGGCATGGTGGTCCATGCCTACAGTCCCAGCCCTCAGGAGGTGGAGTCAGGAGGGTCAGAATTTCATCATCACCTTAAGTTACAGAGTGAGTTTAAGGCCAGCCTGAACCACCTGAGAACCTATCTCAAAAAAAATAAGAAATAGCAAACCTGACTCCAATTAACCACAAAATGCATTAAACAACCACAATTTATTCACGTGCATCTGAAGGCAGCCAAGGATACTTACCACTGGAGCCCAGCTTCAGCCCATCCTTAGGAACCACACGGCTGCCTGGTTCTCTGTTATCCTTATCAACAAAGATCAAGGTAGCCATCCTGGATTCCTCTAGGGGTGAGAGGCACTTATTAGATGCTGAGGTTTGGGGAAGGAGAGAAAAGCTAAGCATCAACAGGGACTTCAAGGTAAGCAGAAGTCAACGGACGCTTAACCCAGATCTAGGTCTCCGAGCCAGAGACAGGGCCGCTGAGCAATACAGAAAGGACGGTTTGGGCTGGCACCGGTCCACAGAGCCCCAAGTCCGGCCACCGCGCCTGTAATCCCAGCACTAGCGAGGTGAGAGCAGGAGGGTCAGAAGTCCGAGGCCAGCCTGAGGTGCATGAGGCGGTCTCAACAAACAGCACAGCTGCTGAGGGTCCAGGCCGCGAGTCAACCGCGCCCGTGGGCACCGTGGGAAAGCCCTCCCGAGTCATCCCCCCGACCTACTCCAACCCGCGCCCGCCGCCTCCCCGCCCTGGTCTAGTTTGGTCCGGTCCGGTCCGGCACACTCCTTCCCCGCCCGCCCCTCCGGTCCTCTCACCCACTCACAACCCCCGGCTCCCCACAACGCACTCGCAGCCAGACTCACCCAAGACTCCGCCACCAACGACCCCGCTCGGCGCAGTTTAAAATCACAGCTCGAGATGCAATTGGCCCGCCCGCGAGGGGGCGGGCCCGGGGCGGACCTGAGAACCAATGAAAAACCAAGGTGATGAGCCGCGGGCCTTCCCCATGTCTTTCCCTGGAAGCTTCTGGTTTGCTTCCTGGGAATTAAAAACAAAGACTATACAATGTCCAAAAAAACCTTAGAGGCTTTTTGCTCTCCACAATATGGAGCTGCGGGGATCGAGGCACTGACCTAGTAACCCTAAAAAAAATCCAGTATTTTAAGGGGTTTTTTGTTGGTTTTTTGTTACTTTGTTTTTGCCAGGGTTTCATGTGGCCCAGGCTGGCCTCAAACTCGCAGAGTAGTGGATGATGACTTTGAACTCCAGATCCTACTTGTTCTTCCTCCCAAATACTGGGATTACTGGCTCTGCCACCACCCCAGGCTGATTGGTTGGTTGGTTGGTTGGTTGGTTGGTTGGTTGGTTGGTTGGTTGTTTAAGACAGGCTGTAACTATGCAGTTGGGGCTGGCTTGGAACTCACTAGATAGCCCAGGCTAACCTCAAGATCCTTCTGCAGCTTCCTGAGTGCTGAGATTTAAGAACTTTTTATTTAAATGGCACTGTAGAAAGGATTGAAAATAAATAGAAATAGTTATTTCTGCTTATTTTCAAACACTGGAAATTTGGTAAGGTTGAAGAATAGAGATCCTCTGAAATCTCAGTCCTTTTTTTTTTTTTTTTTTTTTGACACAATCTCAACTGTGTGGCCCTGGCTGGTTGGCCCTTTCCATAGACTAGGCTCACCTTGAACTCATTGACATCTGCTTGCTTCTACCTCCTGAGTGCTGAGATTAAAGGCATGCTCCACCACACCTGGCTTAACCCCTCCATTGAAATACTGTTAATAATATTGGAGTGTTTCGTTCCAGCCTTTCTCCTGTGTGTTTGATTAACTTTAATTAGCATACACAGTTCCTTAGTCTGAGCACACCCTACAATAATGACCCTATTCCTATGTTTTGTGCATTTCTGAGAACATTCTGAAGTTCCATGATAGTGAGATATTGGTGGTAGGATTTCACCAATTTCTCTCCTGACAGACATTAGGACATTCTTAAAATGGTGGTGAGATTCTGCAAAGTCATCAGTCCTACTGAGACACAGCTGCATGAGTGGTAAAGGGTAGACTCTCAAGGCTTTCCATGACACGTGGAATAAAATAGCGAAACATAATATTGCCAGTCAAATTCCTGCATATTCCCCACATCTCCCTCCAAGCTCATCTTTCCCTCACTCTAGACACGTGGGAATTCCTTTATTTTCTCACAACCATCAAATTCTATTTAACCTCAGGCTCTCTTCATAGCAGAAATTTGGGTGCTGATAAAATTTAAGGAATGTAACATTTATTTTGAAATGTTTCAGGTGTATAGAATAACATACTAGTATAAAATGTAGGGCTATTTTTTACATTTACAATTAAGAAATGTATGGGGCCTAGAGAGATGGACTTAGTGCTTAAGAGCATGGGCTGCTCTTGCAGAGGACTGGGGTTCAGTTCCCAGCACCCACATAGCAGCTCACAACTGTCCATAGCTCCAACACAGTCTTCTGGCCTCCTCAAGCATTACACTTAAATAGTGCACTTACATACATTCAGGCAAAACACATAAAAAAGTAAACATAAATAAATAACTTTTTAAAAAGAACTGCATAGGGTTGGGGTATAGCTCAGTTCATAGAATGCTTGCCTAGCATGCTGGAAGCCCAGCATCCATAGATCAGGTGTAGTGACTCATACCTTTTGAGGGGGAGGCACTGGCTGCTCTTGCAGAAGACTTGAGTTTGAATCCCAGCACCCACATGGTGGCTAACAACCATCTGTAGTTCCACTTCCAAGGGATCTGAAGCCCTCTTCTGTTCTCTATGGGCATTGCATGACATGGGTGCATACGGGTGTGTGTGTGTGTGTGTGTGTACGTGTACATACATATGCAGGCATAACACTAAAACATAAAATAAAGACAATTTTTAATAAAATTTCTTGAAGTTCAAGGTCATTCTGTGCCACATAAGAAGTTCAAGGTCAACCTAGGATATGCAAGAGAAAATGAACTGAATATGACCTGTAACTCCAAGAAATGAATTGTGATCAATACATCAAAATAGAGGATTATTTTTTGAGACGCCTTTGTGGCAATGATGTTCTTTTTTTGTTTTTATTATTATTTTTAAGCCATGTTCTTAACGGCTTATTATTTGAGGGCTGGAGATGTATCTCAGTGGTAGAGGGTTTGCCTAGCATAATCACATTCAAAGAGGGGCTGGAGGAATAAAAAGTTCAAAAACTCAAGGTAAGAAAGTGACTAAATGGTTTTCCTAATGTCAACTAATTGACTATTCATCCAAAGAGTAAAGGATCAGATCAAAAGTATTTGAAGAAAGGCTTCTCTCTCTGTTAGAAAAACAAATAAGGAAAAATGAATACATAATTGTCTGATTTCTATTTGAAAAATGAAAAAAAGATACATCAAAGGGAGGTCAGGAGAACAACCTGCATTGGGTTTAGAGAACACCAGCAAAGGAAGTCGAGAATTAAGAGAAAACATATGGCCTGAGTAGATTAAACAGCTGTTTGGTGTATTCCAGTCATTCTGTTTATGATTAAGAATTGAAGTGTTCCCTAACCACAGAGCTGTCCTCAACACATCAGATTGGAATCTGTCTCTATTACACCTCCAACATCACAACAAAACATCTATCAATGCTTCCTGGAAGGGCCTGGAGGAGGAAGAGGGACGAGCAGAGGACTGATAAATATTTTTTTTAAAAGGAATTCAAGCTTCTAATATATGAGGAGGAATTTTGCTTGGAAAAGTTCTTTTTTAAAAACCTCACCCCCAATCTTTTTCTCATTTCCATAGTAAGTGTGGCTATATTGAACAAGACCAATAAATAAATTCAAAACATCAAGGCTAACCTGTGTCCTCCTCTCTTTTCAGCCATCCCACAGGTTAAGTTGTAGAGAAATTGGGAAAGACAATTTGACCATGTATTATTATTCTTCAGGAGTTGAACACCATACCTAGCATAGGTGTGGCTGTCACCATGTGCCTCTTCATCTCTTCCCTGACATTTCATGACCAAAAGTGATTGATTATTCATTCAACAAATATTTACTGGATAACTATTAAATGCTGGGAATTAAGCTAATCATCAAAAAGAAAAGATTCTAACTCCGGGAGGTGAAGAAGACAAAAACAAACCCCCCATATACCTTTACTGTCCCTCTCTGTTCCCTTCCTTTCATCCCCTCAACGCAGAGGACTGATAAATATTTTTTTTAAAGGAATTCAAGCTTCTAATATATGAGGAGGAATTTTGCTTGGAAAAGTTCTTTTTTAAAAACCTCACCCCCAATCTTTTTCTCATTTCCATAGTAAGTGTGGCTATATTGAACAAGACCAATAAATAAATTCAAAACATCAAGGCTAACCTGTGTCCTCCTCTCTTTTCAGCCATCCCACAGGTTAAGTTGTAGAGAAATTGGGAAAGACAATTTGACCATGTATTATTATTCTTCAGGAGTTGAACACCATACCTAGCATAGGTGTGGCTGTCACCATGTGCCTCTTCATCTCTTCCCTGACATTTCATGACCAAAAGTGATTGATTATTCATTCAACAAATATTTACTGGATAACTATTAAATGCTGGGAATTAAGCTAATCATCAAAAAGAAAAGATTCTAACTCCGGGAGGTGAAGAAGACAAAAACAAACCCCCCATATACCTTTACTGTCCCTCTCTGTTCCCTTCCTTTCATCCCCTCAACCTGTTAAGTTTCTCCCTGGATCCGCTTCTGATTATTCCATCTTCATTTATATCATCAATGCACAAAAGCATTGCTTTTGAAAGCAAATCTATATAATGCCTACAGCTTCCAATTGGGCATTAACCATCCCCATGGGAGGTTTGCTCCCTTTTCATCAGCTAGAAGTATTGTTTTTGCCCAGGTCTTGCCACAGGTGTAAACTATAACCACTCTGTCTTTGAACAGCCATGGTTTTCTTACTAACAATGCCCCTAAACCAGCTTTGTGATTCCCATCTACTACCCGCGCACAATATACCCAATTGCTAAATTACATTCACACACAGTATCACAGAATCCATCGCTAATTCCCTTTCCCTCAATCCAATCTTGCAAACAGCCACCCAATCAGAGCTGACCCCTGCCTTCTTCAACCTTCCAGAATCCTCCAGAACGAACCCAAGCCTTGGAAAAGATTCCTCCTTCTTCCCCAGAACATTCTATAATTCTTCTGAGAAATCACCTTCTGGCTTTTACCTGGCTAATTGGGTCTCTAAGCTCATGAGCAAATTTCAGGATTTTTTTTTAAGTGAGGAAAAATGTCTAAGTGAGTCATACTCAGACTTACCATCAGGTTAGTCTCTGATGCTCTTCCTTCATATGTTGCCTTATAAAACCAAAATTACTATTTACATTCCTAAACCTCAGACACTACAAATTCTTTTTTTTTTTAAAATCTGCTGTGTGCGGTGGCACATACCTTTAATTCCAGCACTCAGGAGGTAGAGGCAGGTGGATCTCTATGAGTTTGAGGCCAGCCTGGTCTACACAGTGAGGTACACCTCAGCTGAGGTTACAGGGAGACCAAACCTCAGTCAACCAAAAAGACCCCGGCAAAAAAAAACAAAACAAAATAATTCTATTACTTTGAGCTCTTTGATTGAAGTGGAAATGTTAGCTATTTAATGTTTATTTGAATAGGAATTCACATTAAGTGTAAATAACAAGAATAAAAAGCAAATTGAAATTCTACCACCAAAATTATTTTCCAGTATTGTACTTCATATGTACAGTTTCAAGGATGTTAACACTATTGTTTTCCAAAATGGAAATTGTTTCATGGTATTTTTTTTTCTAATGATAGACTCCAAGTTGACTTCAGGGGGAGGTGTCAAAATTACCAAAATGTATCATGTACTCATAGCTGATTATTCCGCTTCTATTCAATGATACCAGTTCTCACTATGTAGCCCCAGTGGACTTGAACTAGCAGCAATCCTCCTGCCTCAGTTCCCCTAGTGCTAGAATTACAGGTGCGGGCCACCACACTGAGCTTCAGAGCCACTTTTTACAACTCTAAATTATGTTTAAATTATTGTCCTATCTCAGTCAGTATATCAACTTAAAGAAAACCATCATTCCATTCCCAGAGCATCACATAACCTAATAACTGCCCCCTTTTATTTAAAATATCTCAAGCTTCTCCATTCTTTTCATAGTAGGTTGGTTTTTGGTTTTGTTTTCTTTTTCTTTCTTTTTTTTTGAGGGGAGGAGGTTCATTAGATGGTTTGGTTTGTTTGAGGCTGGGTCTCCTGTAGCCCAGGCTGGCCCCAAACTTGTTATGTAGTCAAGGCAAGCCTTGCACTAATCTGCCTGCCTCCGCCTCCCAGGCACTTCATGGTGTTTTCTGAGGCCTACCCTGCTGCCAGCCTTGAGTACTACATTTTGGAAGGTTTTACGTCTCAAATCTTGCACGGGAACCAGTTTCCAGCAGGCGACATACTTACTAGTGCGCATGTTTCGTTAGTCCGGAAGTATCGCCGTGGCTGCCGGAAGAAGGTAGAACGGCCCGGAAGTAAACATTACTGGCTTGCCTCGGTCGCTGCTGGGTGGTTCTGAAGTAGTCTGTGGCGGAACTGGGTGAGTTAAACCTTCCCAGACTCTGCAGACGGCGGGGCGGGATGGAGAGGAGCTGGCGATGCCGGGGAACGGGACGGCCATTGTAGGGCGTCCGGGGTGAGGACCACAGGCCGGGAGCAGGCCGCTTTCCGGGACGCAGGCGCCAGCCCCGGGGCAGCCTGACCGGGATGCTGCCCCCGGGTCGCCGAGGTCCGGACACCCTGAGCCGCCCCTCCCCCAGCTGACAGCTGCCCCTTTGAGCCTCGGTGTTCTGGTCAGTGATGGCCCTACATTAGAGCATCCGTGTAGCACTCTGAGTTGAAGCTGTCATTGTTTTTACCTCAGAGAAGGTTGGCCCCTCCGCAGCGAGGTGTGATGCAATGACTGCGACTTGGTGACTGCAATACTTTATTAAATCTTGATTTTGAATGTGGCAGTCCCAGACCCCCATACCCTGTGAAGTGTAATATGATTTAAAGGACCAACGTTAAAGTCAGGCCTGGATTGGAGATAGTGGTCTCTTACTTACTTTTTGGCTGAAGGTTGTTAACCTCCCCAAATTTGCTTTCTCACTGTAAAATAAGGTTATTGGAAAGATTAGGTAAGAGGAAGATGCATGGGAAACTAAAGAAATGGTAGTTGTTCAAATGAGATAATTAAATCTACAAATGTCACCCTTCACCTCGCAGAGCACTTAGGCTGCCATCAATTGCATATTACACAAACTTGTATTTTTATTTTTTAAGATTGATTTTATTTTAGTTACATGTATGGGATGGATAGATGGATATGGGCTTTTGTGAGTATAGGCCCCCTAGGACTGGGGTGAGCCACTTGATGTGGGTGCTGAAATTGAATTCGGATCCTCTGTAAGAGTAGTATGGACTCTTAACCTATGAGCCATCTTTCTAGCCCTGTACACAAACTTCTGTAAAGAACTGGTCATGGACGTGGCACATGCCTGTAAATCCAGCACTTGGGAAGTAGAGGCAGGAGGATCAGGATTTCAGAGTTCTCCTCTGCTACATAGTGAGGTCAAGGTCAGCCTAGGTTATAGGACCCCAGACAAACAAAAACCTATGGATATTTTCAGTGAGTAAATATTAAAGAGAACATCTTTGAGTAGTGTCTTAGACTTCTAGCTAAGCTGTTGCAGTTTAAAAAGAGCTATGTAAACATCCAGTGCCTGCTGGGAGCATGGTGTGTTAGAGATATATGATACAAGTGAATGAATCTGAATGGAGGGATGCTTGTCGTAAGACTGGAAAGCAGGTTCCAGACCCTGACAAGACAATATTATCTGTGTTAAAAAGATGTTGACTTATAGAGTCAGAAGGGTTAGAGCCATTGACTACACTGTCCAGTATGATAGGTGCTGGCTACTTGTGGCTATTGAGACTAGAAGCATGGCTAGTCCACATTGGTGTGAAATCCATACCAGCTTTTAAAACTAAGTTGATTTTTTCAGTTCGAATTTGAAATTACGATGTGTTGAATGTATTGTTAAATAAGTTGTTTCTGTAAAACCCCAGAGAGAGAGAGACAGAGACAGAGACAGAAACTGAGACTGACTCACTATGTAGCCCATGCTGGCCTTATAGTCATGATCCTCTTGCCTCAGCCTCCCTCCCAAGTGCTGGGTTTATAGGCATATACCACCATTGACTCTTTTTATTTCTTTAATACTGTTATTCGAAAACACAAAACTATTATGTTGCTAGCATTATTTTTCTCTGGGATGATGCTGCTTTGTGGGGGGTGAGCTTGGACAATGGAACATAATGTGATCAAATTTGTATTTTGAAAAATTAAACTGTCTGAAACATGAAAAATTAATTGGGCAGAATCAGCAGAAACCAGTAAGTCACAAAAGGTCACAACATGAGCTAAAGTGATAGTGTAGTATTCAGAATGGAAAGTAGATCAATTTCAATGTTATTCCAAAAGTAAAAATAATTGTTAGTGGTGACATAGATATGGAGAGGAAGCTGAAACACGAGCCGAGAAATGTGTTGTCAATGAAAGGAGACTAGACTTCAGAGGGAAAGACAGGAGTTTCAGACATGTTGTGTGCAGGGACCTCTGGGGTGGAGAGGTCAATTATACAATTGGATATATAGATCTGAAGCCCACATGGCAAGTCTGGAGCACAGATACAGTGTGGAGCACCGGTAGTGGTGCACTGTAGCTACCAAATCCTTGGAAGCTGGTGTAGGATAGGGTAGCAAATGAGCACATGGCAAGTCTGGAGCACAGATACAGTGTGGAGCACCGGTAGTGGTGCATTGTAGCTACCAAATCCTTGGAAGCTGGTGTAGGATAGGGTAGCAAATGAAGCTCTAGCTGAGCCTTGGGGAATTCATCTCTAAGCAAATGGTCTTGAATAGATGAACCTGCAAAGTAGTCAAGAAGACCAAGGAAGGAGGACACAGAAAACCAGTAATGTGTATAGTGGAAGCCGGGGAGTAAGAATCTATGAAAATCAGAAGAACAGAACTGGAAAATGTCCAGTGAGTTTAGCACATTAATTATTGATAACTTAGTTATTGTAGGACTGACTTTCATTGATATGGTTGAGGATCGAAGCTAAGTCAGAGTGACTGGGAGTAAGAGATGTAGAAGGTGTAGAAATAGAAACATCATGAATATTGATGGTGTGTGTGTGTGTGTGTGTGTGTGTGTGTTGCTAGGTATGCACTTTACCCCTGAGCTACATCCCCAGCCAACCCTGAATACAGACCTTTCTTGCTCTTCTCTCTCTGCATCCCCTCCCCCACTCCTAACGATTTCATGTAGCCCAGGCTGGCCTTGAACTCCCTATATAGGCAGTGGTGACCTTGAACTTTTGATACTTCTTCATTTACCTTCGTAGTACTGGATTACAGGAGTACACCACCACATCCAGCTTATACAGCACTGGGATCAAACCCAGCGCATGCTAGACAAGCACTTTACCAACTGAGCTTCTTTTCCAATATCTGAGTATTGGTAACTCGTAACACACTGAGTCTTGAAGGGGAATAAAGACAGGGCCTTGTGTTTTTTACTGTTGTAGAAAAGTTTGAGACATATAGAAAAGGGAATTTAGGATTATATGTGCAAGAGTCCTTGAAGTCTTATATACATGGCTTCCTCCATTTGTAAATTAGAGTTATGCAGGAAGCAGTGCTGAGCTTGTAGAGACTTTTGAGGAAGAGAATGAAGTCCCTGTTAGGACTGCAAGATGGCTCAGCAGGTCCAGGCATCTGCTGCCAGCCCTGATAACTTGAGTTCGATCCCTGTGACCCATATGGACTCATGACTCCTGCAAGTTGTCCTCTGACATCCACATGTTCGCAGTGTCCACATGCTCACAAAACAAAGTGTGATTTTTTAAAAGTTTTTTTAAAAAGAAAACTTCGGGGCTGGAGAGATGGCTCAGCGGTTAAGAGCACTGACTGCTCTTATAGAGGACCCGGGTTCGATTCCCAGCACCCACATGGAAGCTACGAACCGTCCTTAACTCCAGTTCCAGGGGAATCCGAAGCCCTCTTCTGACCTCTGTGGCATTGCACGACATGGGTGCACTCACATACATGCAGGCAATACATGCATACAGATAAACTTAAAATAGTAAATAAAATATATTTTAAAAAAAAAAGAAAGAAAGAAAACTTTAGGCTGGAGAGATGGCTCAGCAGTTAAAAGCACTGGCTGTTCTTGCAGAGGACCCGGATTCAAATCCCAGCACCCATATAGTGGCTAGCAGCCATCTCAGTGCCAGGGGATCCAACCCCCTCTCTGTCCTCCAAGGGTGCACAACATGGGTACACGTACATACATGTAGGCAATACACTCATACACATAAAATAAAAATAGATTTTTTAAAGAAAGGAAACACTCCTTTACAGACACTGGAAGAATATGAAACTAGGCATTTAGTATTGTGCAGGCCCCAGGGTTGATCCCAATACCCACCATCCATCCCCTAAAAAAGGAAATATTGCTAAACCCACAGTGTGTTGTTAGGATATAGTTTGGAAATCTCAGTGGATGAATTCATAGAGGCCTATTTTACTGTGAATAAATGTCTTCCTTTTCTTAAAGGAAGCCAGTTCATCATGTCTGCAGCCACTGTGGACACGGCTAATGCCACACCCCTGTCGGGGTCCAAAGAGATGAGTTTGGAGGAACCGAAGAAGATGACCAGAGAAGACTGGAGGAAGAAGAAGGAGCTAGAAGAACAGCGAAAACTGGGGAATGCTCCTGCAGAAGTTGATGAAGAAGGAAAGTGAGTAATTTTTTCCCCCATCTGCTCAGAGTTCAAGTTCAGACCTACTGAATCAGCTCTCATCCTTTGCCTCCATAGGATACTATCCTTTACCATTCACAGAACCTTTACTCTTTTTTTTTTTAATCAAATTTTATTCATGGTATATGTGCGTATGCGCATGCGTGTGTGTGTGTGTGTGTGTGTGTGTGTGTGCGCACACCCCCAGAGGCCAGAAGTATATATGGGTGCCCCCAGATGCCAGAAGAGGGCATCAGATCCCGTGGAGCTGGAATTATAGGCAGTTGTGAGCTGCCCACTGGATACCACACTCTGGTTGTCTGCAAGTGCAGGAAGCACTCCTAACTGCTAAACCCTCTCTCCAACCCACCAGAATTTTTATTCTTACTATTTGTTTTATCAAACTCACATGCATAAGGCTTAATAACCAAGTGATACTACAGAGCTTGTAATGAACAGCAACTGTCCTTCTTCACCTTCATGACCCTAGTCCAGAGTCGCTGCTTTTAAGTCTTTTTTTTTTTTTTTTTTTGGTCTTTTTGAGACAGGGTCTCCCTGTAGCCCCAGCTGTCCTGAAACTCACTATGTAGACCAGGCTGGCCTTGAACTCACAGAGATCCACCTGCCTCTGCCTCCCAAGTGCTGGGATCAAAGGTGTGCACCACCACACCTGGCTGCTTTTAAGACTTTATATTTTGGAGATTTGTGGTCATTGCCTTCCCATCTCTAAGTAATAATGCTTACATGTTCTTTTAATCACTTGGCTCTAGACTCTCTTTTCAATTCTTGCTCTGATAGATTTAGCTCTCGAATAGCTTCCTGGCTCTTCCTCTCATCTCCTTTCAGTTGTATCCTTATTTTTAGTATCTTGATTAGAAAGGCTTTCACTGTCGTATGAATCACTTCTTTTTTGTTGATTCTTCATGAGGTTATAGGGATGACCGCCATGTTCGCTGTCCCCCCACTGCCGTGTCTTAGCGTCTGTGCAGGCTGCGTTCGTACTTTAAATGCTATTTTCAAACTTGGCTCGTTAAAATTTTGCTTAAATTTCATTACAGAGATATCAACCCTCATATTCCTCAGTATATTTCTTCAGTGCCATGGTATATTGATCCATCAAAAAGACCCACTTTAAAGCATCAAAGACCACAGCCAGAGAAGCAAAAGCAGTTCAGTTCATCTGGGGAATGGTACAAGAGGGGCGTAAAGGAGGTATGTGGACAATGTGTGCTTGTCCTTTTGTGTTTGGAGACGGTGAATAACTTAGAAGAACTTTTAATGCAATAGAAAGTAGTAATACATTACATAACTCTTTGGTATTGAAATTCACCATGTATACAACTTTGGCTACTGTATTTTTCTAACACAAATTTTAAATCACTGAAATCCTTAAGCTTTGTCATTCCTTAGTCTGTGAAGATGATCTGGTTTTCTTCTTAGCAAACCAGTTCAATAGACAAGATAGTTGTGAGAGTCAAAGTTAATTTCTAAATTACTCAAATAGTCCATTTGCTTTGTTTTTCTCTATATCCTTTAATAGAATTCCATAACTACTAAGTACCGCAAAGGAGCCTGTGAAAATTGTGGAGCCATGACACATAAAAAGAAAGACTGCTTTGAGGTAAGCTACCTTTGAGGATTTTGGAAAACCGTTAGCAATTCTTCCTTCTTTCCCTGGTCAGAGAACTTCTGTTTTTCTAAAATTCCTTTCAAAAAATAAAAATTAGGGGCTGGAGAGATGGCTCAGAGGTTAAGAGCACTGACTGCTCTTGCAGAGGACCCAGGGTCGATTCCCAGCACCCACATGGCGGCTTATGGTGGTTAACAGCCGACTGTAACTCCACTTCAAGAGGAATCTGATGCCTTTTGAGCTCTGCGGGCATTGCATGACCTGAGTGCACTTACATAACATGCAGGCAATACACTCATACACATAAAATTAAAATAATAAAATATTTTTTAAAAAATAAGAATTAATTTGAGTGAAATTAGTCCAGCGTCATCAAAGTTTTCTGCTGGAAGTTGTCTGATAATTGAGCAGACTGTAAGAATCCCACAGTGTGTTTATGCCTGCTTTAGGAAAGTTGCATGAAATTTTTCTGTGTGCTAGAAGCACTTAAGAAAAAGTTAAATCTTGTTTTTCAGAGGCCAAGGCGAGTTGGAGCCAAATTCACAGGCACAAATATAGCTCCAGATGAACACATCCAGCCTCAGCTGATGTTCGACTATGATGGGAAGAGAGATCGGTGGAATGGCTACAACCCAGAAGAGCACATGAAAATTGTGGAGGAGTATGCCAAGGTTGATCTGGTGAGCAGAATCCCCTGCTTCTGCTGTCTTTGGAGAATGAACATTTTGCTCTGTCTCCAATGTAGCAGCTGTTTTTCAGGTCTTGAAGGTCTGTAAAAATGGTCCCATTTTTGTAGCAGCATGTCGAATCAAATAGTGAAAAGAAACAGTAGCCCTATTTGGCAGCAGTTTCTTACGTGATTTTAAATTTTTTTAATTTTATGTATATGAGTGTTTGCATTCATCTGTGTAAGTGTGCCACACGCATGCGATACCCACAAAGTCCAGAAGAGGGCATCACATTCCTGGAACTGGACTTACTGGCCATGTAGGTGCTAAGAACCAAACCTGGGTCCTCTTCAAGAACTACACGTTCTCTTAACTGCTGAGCCATCTCCCAGCCTCTTTTACTTATTTTATTCTATTCCCCAGTGTATGTGATTAAAGAAACTGGAAGCGTAAGAACAGATTTGTTTCCACAGCTTTTGGCTTTTTGCGATTCTGAACTCTAGTGCGTAGGCTAGTTCTAAGTCTGTTTTATCGTTGTTTCAGGGAACATTTGGGAATAGTGGAAGCCAATAGATAACCTGTTTCAGAAAACTGGATCTTAATTTAACCTCAGTGCATTTTTTACAATGATTCTATTTACCCAAATTCCTTCAAAACAGTATTCTACACTGCCCCCCCCCTGCACATTTTGGAAGAATTTATAGATAATATTTACCCATCATGAGTTTTGTTTTGTTTTGTTTTCATTTTTCCAGTGTTTCATGTAACCTGGGCTGGCTTTGAATTCTCTAACTCTGTTGCTGTATACCCAAGATGATCACGAGCTATCTCATCCTCCTGCCTCTGCCTCTTGAGTGCTGTGCAAGATCACAAGTGCCATTATGCCTGGTAAGATCATGAGATGTCACATAAAAATCTAGACTTCATGTTTTCCTGAGCACTGAAATATGTAATGCCTGAGAAAAATCAGTCAGTCATCTGAGGTCACCTCATACCTGCCAGCTGTTGGTCAGGGCTTGCTCCCTGCAGTTTACCATCCATGCCATCTGGCTATGTTCACATCAGTGCCTGGTTCAAACAGGAGTCCGTAACTGCCCTTCAGAGAGCTATAGGCCAGCCCTAATGACCTTTTCTGAAAACAATAAAATTGCTCACTTTAAGTATAAAAATATAAATGGCCATTTGAACACAAGAAAAATTTAAATGTTTCTATTTTTTCTAGGCAAAACGAACATTGAAAGCCCAGAAACTGCAAGAAGAATTGGCCTCAGGAAAATTAATGGAACAAGCCGTAAGTAAAAATAAAGGTCATTCAAACACAATGCTCCAACTCCTTCAAACGATGAGATGAAATTTGAAACAAGAATTCATTTTATACATCTCCAGTTAGAGAAGAACCCTGATCTTCAGGGTCCATCTCCCGAGTACTAGATCACAGGACACAGCTCTTAAGTCGCATTTATGAAGACCGTGTTAATGCTATTGACTGTTATATATTTTAATAACATATGAAAAAAAAATCACAGAAAAAGACCAAAACACCAGTTTTCTGTTTTTCTGACATTTTTATATGTTCTGCTTAGGGTGGGAATTGAACCCAGGCCTTGAGCACAGTAAAATTTTATTTTATACTCTTTTTAGTTTAATATTTGCCACAGTTTCATTAGTGGACTTTATTTTATAGTTGAGTAAATAAAAATTTCAGACTAAAGGTACATTTCAGCTAATTTTTTCAGTCATACCAACTTTATAGAATAAATATGTGTAAAATCGTATTAAATGGTTGGGGCTGTAAAAAGGGCTCTCTTGCTTTTTTTTTTTTTAGTTTTGTTAGCTCTTTTTTCCTTTTTATTTCAAGATGCACAGAGGGTGTCTTGGTGACCATAATGTATGTTGTCATGTATCACACAGCACACCTGTGAAGTTTCTAAAAGAGACTCAGCATGTCTGAGTGACAAGGCAGAACAGGAAGCCACTACCAAGTAAATAGTTACTGAGGCAATTAAGTTACCAGATGGGTGTTAAGAGCCCTGTTCTGCAGAGTGCCAGGTTCTGGCCTCCCTCTGGCATAGGGGCTGAGAATGCAGGGGACTGCCTGAGAGCACCCGGATCCTGCCTCCACGTGCTGCATTTATATTTGTAAGGATTATGTGAAGACCTCAAGTTAAGTGGGTGGATCTAAGAGTAAGTACAATACAATAAAGACTTGAAATCTTTAAAAAAAAATTTTTTTTTTTTTTTAAAAAAGAACCCTGTTCTGCCCTAACTAGCTAGCTACCTGCTCCTAGGAATATTAATTTTCCTGTCTGGACCTCAGCATACCTGTCATCTGTGTATAGGTCTGTCTCCCTACTCCACTTAACATACATAGCTTGTAGTGAACACTTTGTAATAGTAGCTGTTGTTGTTAGGGTGATTGTTAATTGCTGACAAGTCTGGAAACTAGCTTTTTCTCTTGTTCTAACAACTATATTCCATGGTGTTGTAAACATAATTTTTATTTCCCCAGTAAAGGTGTTTAAATATATAGAGGGGCTGATGATTCTTGCCTACTTGGATGTATAGCTGTAAAAAGGAACTTTGTGTAGCAGGGCAGTCTCTCCCGCCTTCTTTATAGCCATATCAGTGACCTTTGTTGAACCAACAACTGTGGGAACTCCAAATAATTCTTATCTTTAAAGAATGTTATTTCTGATTTTGAAAGTAAGACATACAAAGTTAAATTATAAAGAAGAAAATAAATAGCCCATTTGTTAACTTTTGGGGTTTGTGGTCCTGGGGAGCAAACCCAGGACTACATCCTGGGCCACTGCAGGAGGTTCCCTTACTTCCCAGATAAATCTATATACTATGTATAGTGGTAACACATTCCGGTGCTCACTGTTACCTGCTTTTTTTATTGGGGGAGCAGGACAGGGTATAGAGGCTTATATCCAGTACTTCGTGTGAGATATGACAGGCAAGTTCTCTACCACTGTCCTACATAATTTTGTTTTGTTTTATTTTGTTTGAGACAGGGTTTCTCTATAGCCCCAGCTGACTTGGAACCTCGCTTTGTAAACCTGTTCTCACAGAGGCCCTGCCTCTGAGTGCTGGTGTTAAAGGTGTACACCACCACACCCAGCCCTTTTTGTATTTGTGAGACCAGGCCTCACTGTGTAGCCTAGGATGCCCTTGAACTCAGAGCAAACCTCCTACCTCAGCCTCCTCAGTGCTTGGATTACAAGCATGAGCCACCATACTTGGCTTACCTGCTGTTTTAATTGAACAATGTATAATGCAGTGAGAACTTAAATATGTCATTAAACATAGACCTACAGCCAGCAAGATGGCTGAGCAGACAAAGTGCCTACCATACAAGCCTGGCAGCCTGAGTCCAATTCCTGGAGCCCACGTAAAGATGGAAGGAGAGAACTGACTCTACAAAGTTGTCCAGACTCTAGTCTCCACGTGTGCACACACAATAACAAATTTTAAAAATAAGTATAGATGTATTCTTTATTTTTACATAAATTCACATGGTTAAAAAACCAGAACAATTTAAGAAGATAGACAATGAAAAGTTTCTCCCTTGTCTTCATCCACCGTGTTGTTAAGCTTTACTGCTGTAATCTTTTGTGCATGTGATTTTCTCAAAGTTGCTTGTGTAAGAGTAAACCACTACAGAACCTTATACCCACCTGTCTTTCCCCTTCATCTCCCTGGTAGACTTAATGATAATTCAGTGTTAAATTGAGTGCAATAAATTACACAAGCTATCATGTATTGTTAGTTTTACTTTTTCCCTAATGTATACCACACTGAATCACTTTTTTATACATGTAAAAGCATCTTTACATAATAGCATGTTGTTTCATTAGGATCAAGTGCTGGATGTATACTTATTGATACAGTGAATATATGTTTTCAGATTTGTTTTGGTTTTGTATGGCTTCATGAGACAGAGTCATGCTGACTCAGGATGGCCATCAACTCACTTTGTCTTTCAGGCTGGCCTTGAACTTTCAACAGTCCTCCTGCCTCAGCCCCCTAAGTGCTTGGGATTACGGAAATGCATCAGTACACTCAGCAGAGTCTTCCCCCCATTATTGGAGATTGAAACTAAGGGCTTCCATACTAATGAGAGGCTTTACCTCTGAACTACATCCTCAGTCCCCAGCATAAACTTTGATGACATATCACTCAGAAAAGACTGGTACCACTTACCTACTATCAGTGTACTGTGTAAACCTCCATACATGCATGCATGTGCACTTCCAGTGCTTTCTCCACCACCTTGCTAATGCTATTTTTTTTAATTTCTAAATAATCTTAAAGAGACATGATCTTCTGACATCTTGCTGTAGGTGTTTTGTAGAACTAGAGTATCTTGAACAATTGCTAATGAAGATAAGAGTTTCTTTCTGATAAGGAGTTTGGAGTCTCCTTAAATCACAGTATTGTGTCATCTGAGTAGATTTCTTCATTGCCAAAATTTATAAAGGTTGTTTTGACTCTGAAGATTCTTATGACATGATCCTGACATGCATTTTCTATTTTGAATTTGATAAAATACTGAGGTTTGGGACTACTGAGATGGCTGAGTGGGTGAAGGTGCTTGCCATGCAAGCTTGGCAACTTAAAGTTCAATCCCCAGAATCCATGTGCATATGGAAGGAGAGAACTGACTCTACTGAGTTACCCTTTGACCTCCACATGTGCATAATGGCACACCCACCTCCCACCCCCAAATAATAAATACACAATTAGAAAACTAGTGGGGTTTATTTAAATGAACGTGATACATCTAAAAACTAAAACATGGAAATTAATATTTATTGGGTACCTATGTCATCTTCCTGATATTTTATATGGTTATAATCCTATATTAAGGGTCTGGAGAGATGGCTCCAGTTAAGAGCACTTACTGCTCTTGCAGAGGACCTGAGTTCGTTCCCAGCACCCATATCAAACCTCTTAGAACTACCTGTAACTCTAGCTCCATGTGATCCAATACTTTCTTCCAAGGGCACCTGCACACACGTGTACACACACACACACACACACACGCATGCATACACACATACACGCACATAAAAAAATCCTATATCAATAAAATTCTCTATAAATTTTCTAGTTTTGTGGACACTAATGAAATGAACTGTTCACAATACCATACTTGTGTTCAGAATATCCGTGTGCATTACAAGTGAGAAATAAAAGCTCTGAGTTGAATTGAAATTTTCTTTCTTTCCTTCCTTTCTCTCTTCAGTGCTAGGGATCAAACCCAGGATGTCATGCGTCCTAGGCATGCACTTTACGATTAACCTACTCCCCAGCCCCTGTTTATATTGTTATGCTAAATAATCAGTAGGTTAAGTGAAATAGATTTACAAGTGGTATTCCTTCTTTCTTGATGCAGAATTCTCCAAAACACCAGTGGGGAGAAGAGGAACCAAATTCTCAGATGGTAATAAATATTTGTCTTATCTGCTATATATTCCTTTTTTTTAGTTTTAAGTGGCTAGTACTGATAGCAGTAATAAAAGTAGCCTTAACAATTACACAGATCAGCATTTGGCATTTGCTCAAAGAGAAAGGAAAACAAGACCTAGATACGGCTCCTTTTGACTTGGTTTCTTGTCCTTCTTCCTCTCAGGAAAAGGATCATAACAGTGAAGACGAGGACGAAGATAAGTACGCAGATGATATTGACATGCCTGGGCAGAATTTTGACTCAAAGAGACGCATCACTGTCCGGAATCTCAGGATTCGAGAAGATATCGCAAAAGTAAGTCTTGTCAGCTGGCCTCCTTTCAGCCTGGCCAGTGGTGTTGAGAACACTTTGTTTCCACGGCGTGATCCACTTACGTAGTTTCTGTGTTTCTGTGTTCCATGATAAGTATCAGTCTGCCTTTTCTCTCTCCCTCTCCCTAGCAATGGACATAGCAATTCAAGTGGTTGTAATTAACTCTACCAGCTGAAATCTTTTTTGCTATAAACACATGTTAATTCAGTCTTTAACTGTTTTTTCTTCTAGTATTTGAGAAATTTAGATCCAAATTCTGCCTATTATGATCCAAAAACTAGAGCGATGAGAGAAAATCCTTATGCCAATGCGGGGAAAAATCCAGATGAGTAAGTATCAAATGTACAGAGCTCAGAGTAGGAGGACGTTAATCCTTCTCTGACCCAGCCATAGACAGTATTCATTTCAATTCAGATTCAGTTTTATGAATGCACTTTTTTTAAAGAAAGAAATCTGATTTCCTTTTTGTGTTTTCAGAGTGAGTTATGCTGGAGATAACTTCGTTAGATACACAGGAGATACCATTTCAATGGCTCAAACACAGTGTAAGTGTTCCGTATGAAAGCCTTTTATACAAGCTCATCAGAAATTGGGGATCACGTGCGAACGAAATGTCTTAGTGGTTCAAGGTGCCTGCCACCAAACCCGACAACTGGAGTTCAAGCCCCAGCCAGGGTCTACATGGTAGAAGGAGAGAACTGACTCCCGCCAAGTTAGCCTCTGACCTCCACACACCCTGTGGCACATATGCCTGGATGGATGGATGGATGGATGCATGGATGCATGGATGGATGGATTTTTTTTTAAAAGAAATTAGGGCTTGTAAACCAGGTATAATGGCATACATCTGTAATCCTAGCCCTTGGGAGGCTGAAGCAGGATGAGAGCCACAAGTTTGAGAACAGCTTAGGCTACGTAGTGAGTTTCAGAACAGCCTAGGCTAACATGGCAAGACTTTCTCAAAAAAGTAAATAAACAAGAAAGAAAGAAACAGAAAGAGGGAGGAAGGAGGGGGAAATTGGCCATTACTTAAAGCTTACTTTAAAAAAGGACATGCATTGAGCTAACAACTCATTAAGATATTTTGAATTGCTCTAGTGTTTGCTTGGGAAGCCTATGACAAGGGATCTGAAGTGCATCTCCAGGCAGATCCTACAAAACTAGAGCTGCTATACAAGTCCTTCAAAGTAAAAAAAGAAGACTTCAAAGAGCAGCAAAAAGAAAGCATCCTAGAAAAGGTAATTTTCAGACCTGGTGTGGTAGTGCACACCTCTGCTCCCGCACTCAAGAGGCAGAGGCAGATGGATCTGTGAGCTCGAGGTCATCCTGGTCCACATAGTGAGTTCCGGGCCACCTGGGGCTACAGGGAGACTTTGTCCCCAAAACAAACAGAAAAGGTAATTTTCACCAAAATGCTAGGGAATAACTTTTCTTAAAGAAAAGTAACTACTGCCAGGCGTGGTGGCACATGCCTTTAATCCCAGCACTTGGGAGGCAGAGGCAGGTAGATCTCTGTGAGTTCAAGGCCAGCCTGGTCTATATAGTGAGTTCCAGGACAGCTGGGGCTACAGGGAGACCCTGTCTCAAAAAGACCAAAAAAAAGAAAAGTAACTACTAATAGCATTTGTATTGAATTTGGTCTGCAATACCAAGAGAATCCCTTTTAACCCATGAGGCATAGTTCCTTCCTTCCACTGACTTGGTCAGTTGGTATAGAGTTTGGTATCCATGAGTTTTGTTGCAAAACAAACCACTCCAGGATACAGTAGCTTAAATAAACATTTATTATTCCACACAATTCTGCATTAGCTGGGCCTCCCGCTGAGGGACTGCTCATCTCTGCATCACGTGGTCTCATCTTCTAGTCACTGGCCCAGCTTTTAAAATGACATTTCTCAGGGATCCAGGGCCTAGCAAAAAAGTGTGCCTTGGTGCACAAACCATGCCTTTGCTCGCGTCATATTTCCTGACTTCCCATTGATTGAAGCAAGTAGCATAGCCAAGCCCAAATTGCAAGAATGGAGAAGCAGGGGGCCCAGCAAAGTCAGGAAGCAGGTGATAGATGTGTATGCATCTGAGAAAAAACAATGTGTGGCCCTCTTGTAACCTACCTTGCTTAACAGAGTAACAATGGAGGCACCTCTTATTTGCCTAGGAAAGTTGATGATACATTGTCATCTTTTCCTTAGTAAAGCCTAGTTAAAATGTTCATTTATTCTTACTGAAAATAAGCTCTTTTTTAGAGATTTGAATGCAAAACTTTGCTGTAAAATGCATCTGACAATGTCTAATGTCTTTTAGTACGGTGGCCAAGAACACTTGGATGCCCCTCCAGCTGAGCTGCTCTTAGCCCAGACGGAGGACTATGTGGAGTACTCCAGACATGGAACTGTCATTAAAGGCCAGGAGAGGGCTGTCGCCTGCTCCAAGTATGAGGAGGATGTGAAGATCCATAACCACACGGTATGGGCTAAACTGGAACTGCCCTTGCTTTGCTCCTGTTGTGTCTCTGACCTCATTGTGAACCAGTACTAACTCCCCCCTCCACACACACACACACACACACACACACACACACACACACACACACACAGTAGCAGTTGTAATACAAAACCTTCCAACTAAAAAAAGCCCAGGACCAGATGGATTTACTCAGAATTCTATCAGACATTTAAAGACGATCTACATCCAATACTACTTAATTTATTCTAAAAATAGAAATGGAGGGAAAATTTCCAAATTCCTTCTATGAAGCCAGCATCACTCTCATACCAAAGCCTGGTAAGGATACAACCAAAAAAGAAAACTATAGACCCATATCCTTAATGAACATAGATGCAAAAATTTAAAAATACTACCTTATTCACTTGTCTCCCCTCGAATCAAAACATTTTAGTATGTTGTACCAATCAAGCTATGTCTAGGTTTGAATGTGCACTGCTGTGTACGCAGATACACGTACACACAAATAATGTGCATCTTCCAGTTTTGGTGGAAACATTTGAAAGTTGCAGATAGGACATTTCACCCATGAACACTATCACATATGTCCTAAAAATGAGCACATTCTTCTAAACAGCTACCCTTACAGTGCTTCAGAAAATTCACATTGACTCCTTGGTATTTTATTTGTTCTTTGCCACTTTGTTTTTGTTGCATGTGAACGCATTCCTGCATGCATGTATGCCACACTGGAGGTCAGAGAAGAACTTTGTGGAGCTGGTCTTCATCTTTCACTTTTTTTACCATGTTTGTTTGCCCATATGAGTTCATGTGTGTCACATGTGTGCAGATGCCTGTGGAAGCCAGAGAGCATCAGATCACCTGGAACTGGAGTTACAAGTGGTTGTGAGCCACCTGATGTGGTTGTTGGGAACTGAACATGGGTCCTCTGCAAGAGCAGTGTACTCCTAAGCACTGAGCTGTCTCTCTTTCTAGTTTTTTTTTGTGTGTGTTTTTGAGACAGAGTCTCCCTGTTCTTTGTAGACCACGGTGGCCTCAAACTCACAGAGATCCGCCTGCCTCTACCTCCCGAGTGCTGGAATTACAGGAGTGTGCCACCACGCCTGGCTTCTTTCTACTTTTATATGGATTCCAGGGGTCCACTCAGGTCATCAGGCTTGTGTGGCAAGCACTTTACTCGCTCAGCCTTCTCCCAGCCCCCTTACTCACTTTTTAATAACTGCACACAAAAATACTTTTCAGAGCTATGTTTTTGGTCCAAGTCCAGTTAAGTCTGTTTTTATGATTTGCCGATTGTGTCATTTTTCTGGCTCTGTTTTCCAAACAGTAGCCATTTACAGGATCTAACTAGTTACCTTGTACATTGTCTCATAGTATACCTTTGGCTGTTTGTGGTAGTATCATAACATTTCTCCCATCCCCAATATGTCTTAAAACAATTCTAGTCCAAAGCCTTGATTAGACAGAACTTTAATTTTTTTTAATTTATTTTTATTTTATGTGTGTGAGTGTTTTGCTTCCATGTGCAATTGTGTTGTGCAATACCTTTGGAGGACAGGAGAGAGCTTGAGATCCCCTGGAACTGTAGTTAAAGCTGCCATGTAGCTGCTGTTAGCTGCCATGTAGATGCTGGGAACCAAACCCAGGTCCTCTGCAACAGCAACCAGGGCTCTTAACCACTGAGCCATCTCTCCAGCCGAAAACTTTGAATATGTTAACAAGAACATGCAGTAGGTGATGGTGTACTTCATTGTGCATTATGTTGTCGAGCATACATAGTGTCTGTGAATATTTCGGTGCCTTGTCCATGCTCAGCCCATACTTCACCACCCTCAGCTCTACTTGTTGTGCATTTAATTAACCAAACTATAATTTTTACAAGAATCAGAAACCTAATAACCTATAGTAGCCCAGGCTACTGTATATAGATAGAGTGGAGTGAGCCAGACTCTCTGTTCAATCTGGACAGCATAATTGCATAAATACACCATTCAGCAAGAGCCACTTATGGCCAAGGGAAGTGCAGGCTCAGGAATTCCCATGCCTTAATTTAAGAGAAATCAAATATCTTAAATATTTTTCGTAGGCTTTTTGGGCCAGGTAGAGGGAAGTCAGTTTATTGAGACAGTCTTACTATGTAGCCTAGGCTGGCTCAAACTTAAAGCCTCCTACCTCTGCCCCAGGAACTGAGATTATAGGCATATCCCTCCATGCCATCTCCTAGGCTTTTGAGAGCAGAGTTTAGACCATCATAACTATAAGACTCAACACTTGAGATTGACCCACTGTCTATTACCCTGACATAGAATCTCCACATTTTTTCTCTGAAGTTCCATTCAAAATGGCTGTATTATTTTCTGCTCCTGTCAAGAGTATGTGAAAGACCCTATTTTTAGATCCCTTTTTAAGTTTCCTCTCTATCTCTGCAGCATATCTGGGGATCTTACTGGAAAGAAGGCCGATGGGGATACAAATGTTGTCACTCTTTTTTCAAGTATTCCTATTGTACTGGAGAAGCTGGGAAGGAGACTGTTGTAAGTAATTGTTCTCTGGTTCTTTTGTGGGAGAGGTTGGGTTGGGCAGGGAGACAGGCTCTCATGTAGCCTAGGCTAGCCTTGAATTCACTGTGTGCAAAAGAATGACCTTAAACTTCCGATCCTGCTACCACTTCCCAAATGCTGGGGTTACAGATGTTACCACTGTGCCTGGTATGAGGTGCTGGAGATTGAGCCTAGGGCTTTGCATGCTAGGTAAGCACTGTACCAACTGAGCTACCTCCCCAGCCCCTGTCCTCTAGCTCTTAACAGTATAAGATAATCAAAGCATGTAAGTCAAACCTTGCATAAAATATAGCTTCTCATTTCAAATTTTAACTTGTTCTCTTTTTTTTGGTTTTCTTTTTGTATGAGTATTTTCTTGCATGTATGTAAAGTGCACTTGTGCATGCAATGCCCACGGAGGCCATAAGAGGGTGTTAGATCCTGTGGAATTAAAGTTACTGATGGTCGTTAGCTGCCAGGTGGGTCCTGGGAACTGAACCCAAGTCCTCTCCAAAAGCAGCCAGTGCTCTTAACTGCTGAGCCATCTCTCCCACTCCTCAACTTGTTCTTAAAATGATTAGTGATTATAGCTGGGCGTGGTGGCGCACGCCTTTGATCCCAGCACTCGGGAGGCGGAGGCAGAGGCAGGCAGATCCTCAGTGAGTTTGAGGCCAGCCTGGTCTACAGAGTAAATACCAGGCAGCTGGAGCTACAGGGAGACCCTGTCTCAAAAAGACAAAAAAAAAAAGATTAGTGGCTATAGTCATATCAAATAACACTTCTTTTCCCAGAATTCAGAGGAATGTATTCTAAATGATGCCACCGGAGAAGAATCTGTGAAGAAGCCTCAAACCCTCATGGAGGTCAGTCTATAGCTTTGTGTTCTAAATTGTTAAGGCCCAAGGGAGAACTTTAGTAATTGTGCTAGAGCTTCATTTTCATGGTCTGTTTCAATCATCCCTATCAGATGCATCAGGAAAAACTCAAAGAAGAGAAGAAGAAGAAGAAAAAGAAAAAGAAACACCGAAAGAGCAGCTCGGACAGTGATGACGAAGAAAAGAAACACGAGAAACTGAAAAAGGTATTTGTGGTGTCTAAGAAGTAAAAGTGACAGCAGGACTCATCATTGGTAGGGACCGTAGAAACGATCTAGTCACCTGAAAGTTCATGTCCACAGTGAGGAAATAGCCCAGAGTCGAGGTTGTGTGCCAGGTTGTATTGGTGGAGACTTTGTGAGTCTAAGTATGATTGTCATCTTGGAATACTTCCTAAATGTCTCCACAACACCTGAGAAATGTGTTTTGTGAAGCTGTTTTAGAGCCATCAGCACATCACCCAGAGAGTGGCCTTTTAGCACCATCGTTAATAAGATCCAGCAAGTCCTTGAGAACAACTAGAATTACACTCTTTTTTAAAAAAATATTTTATTGGAGCTGGAGAGATGGCTCAGCTGTTAAAAATACTGAATGTTCTTGCAGAAGACCCAGGTTTGAATCCCAGCACCCACATGGCAGCTAACAACTGTTCATAACTCTTCTGACCTCCGCGGGCATTGCATGACATGGGTGCACTTACCTACACGCAGGCAATACATGCATACACATAAAAAATAATAAGTAAAATATTTTTTAATATTTTATGTATTATTTTTATTTTATGTGTATGAGTATGGCTCCGTACATATTTAAAAAATATTTTATGTATTATTTCTATTTTATGCATGGGTGCTGGGAATCAAACCTAGGTCCTCTGCAAGAGCAGTCAGTGCTCTTAACCGCTGAGCCATCTCTCTAGTCCCCAGAATTGCATTCTTTCTTTTTTTGTCTTTCTGAGACAGGGTCTCCTTGTAGCCCCAGCTGTCCTGGAACTCACTATGTAAACCAGGCTGGCCTCAAACTTAAAAAGATTCGCCTGCCTCTGCCTCCCAAGTGCTGGGATTAAAGGCCTGCGCCACCACGCCTGGCCCAGAATTGCATTCTTTAACAAAAGCATCAGCTATGGTCTTGTGTTTAAAATAAAAAAATTAAATTTTATTATTCAATAGAACTCTTTTAAAAAGCTTTTAAGTTACATTTATTTATTTGTGTGTGTCTGGGTGTATCAGTATATGTGTGCAGAGGTCAGAGGATAACTTGTGAGAGTCAGTTCTCTCCTTCCATCCTGTGGGTTTTGGAGATGGAATTCAGGTCTTCAGGCTTGGTGGCATGTGCCTCCCCCACCAAGCCATCTCACTGGCCCCTCACTAGAACTTCTTTGACTACAAAAAATGTCATAGAACATCCTGTGCTCCATGAAAATATGAAATGAGTCAAATAACTAGTTGTATCTGTGCAAGGACTGACTACCACGTTCTTTCAGGTAGTGTGGGGTTTTGATAGAGCACTTGAGCCGCCTTTGAACAAAGGCAGTGTGTTGGAGACGTGTGCTATTCTTCTTTCCCTCTACCCGTAGGCACTGAATGCAGAGGAGGCACGCCTTCTTCATGTTAAAGAGATCATGCAGATCGATGAGAGGAAGCGGCCTTACAACAGCATATATGAAACTCGGGAGCCCACTGAGGAGGAAATGGAGGCCTACAGAATGAAGCGGCAGAGGCCAGATGACCCCATGGCCTCTTTCCTTGGACAGTAGTACCTTGTCATAGACATGGTACCCGGCAGACAGCAGCCTGTTCTCAGCCTCTTGCTCTAGTGATACGTAGAAAGCCTTTGTCCTTCTTGCCACCCACCTTTAATAAAACTTTCAGAAGTCTCAAAATCATTGTATTCAACATGAAAGAAACAAAAAAGGAGGAAAGGGCCTATAATAGAGGATTGAGGTTAAAAATCATCCAGTTTTAGTCAGTGATTTGGAAAGAGACTTTGGCTCTCTACCTGTGATTCCAGCATTTGAGAGACTGAGGCAAGAGGGTCAAGAGCTGGAGGTCATGCTTGGTACACCTGCAGTCCCAGCTCCTACGAGGATGAAGCAGAGCCACCTTAGCGGTCCAGCAGGTTGGAGAGCAGCCTGCATAACATGAGACTTTGTCTCAAAACAAAGTGAGTTCCAGGCTATCTCTAGCTGTCAGAAAAAAAGTCTTCTATTTATCCTGTATGTAGGTCTCCTACTTCTTCAGTTTTCCTGGCCTTCTACCTAGCAGTAGCACACATATTAAGATAGATTCCGCTCTTAAAAAAAAAAAGCTTCACTTTCTTAAACTAGTAATTCCAGTAGTAATTTAACTAATAATTTAACTCTATGATTACACTTAGAGTATTTGGTTTTGCCTTTTAGGATTTTCTTGATTTGAAACATTCTACCTTAGTCTGTGTCACTGAAAGGAAATCTGTAGAACTTATAAGTATCTCCCCTGATCTGAGATAATCCGTTTTTCATTTGGTTGTTAGATGTTGGATTTTAATGTATTTTTCTATCTTACATCCAGACTGTTAGCCTTCGTATAGAAAATCAAGTATTTTCTCATCCTTGGCACAGCATTGCCTGATCACCACTGGTCTTTTACCTTGCTGAACATGAACTTTTAGACATAGAAATCCTTTCTTTTATCATAAAAGATGCAGTTTTTATTATTTATCATTTTAATTGTGATTTATGTAACAATCATAACATTAAACTCTATGAGATCGAAAACATCTATTTACCTTGTCTTCATAGCCAGCAAATACTACTTTATAAAACTTAGAGAGCAAACAATCCTGAAGTTGAAGGTCCTTCAAAGAATTCTAAGGATGGCTTTGTAGGGATCTTAACAGCTGATATTGCTGTGATCCTCAAGCCTTGCCTAAGAATATTATGAAGACAACACCAATAGAGTATGAGCAGAGAACAGCTGATAACAGCCCGTGATGGCAGAAGACATTGAATCAATTGCCTTCCAAAAACCACTTCTAGGATACTATGTGAAGTCAGCATCTCAGAAATGGTGGAAGGAAAGCAGCAGAACCCATGATCAAATAATTGTATTCCTAGCATCACCATTCCGACTAATGAGATTAAAGCTGCAAAGCAGGCCTGAGTGATAGCTCAGTTGGTGAAGTGCTTGCCTTGCAACATAACTCAAGTTTGAGCCCCAGGACCCACAGCTTAAAAAGCCAGGTGTAGTGGTCTGTGCTTGAATCCCAGTGCTAGGGAGGCAGAGACAGACAAGATCCCTGGGGCTTACTGGCCAGCCAGCCTAGCCAAATCAGCCAGTTCCAGACCAAGGAGAGAGAAAAAGGTAAACAGCAAATAAGAAACAAGACTTGAAGTTGTTCTCTGACCTCTACACACAAGTGCACCTGTTCCTACACAGGCACACAGAATGGTAATGTAAATAAATCTGATTTTTCTTTAAAATGTCAAATTTGTGTTTTTCTATTCCTACCCTAACATAGGATGATTCAGTACAAAGTCTAACATTGGCATCTTGTTTTGTATATTTTGTTAATGAACATGCAATTGAGAATATTTAACTGTGAGTGATTTGTAGTATTATTTAAATATCTGGTAGAGAAATGAATTATAGGAGTGTCAAGGAGCCTGGGTTAACTTCTTTGAGTTTATTATAAAAATTTCAGCATCCCTTAATTCTAACCTAACCCCTACCCTTCTCTCTGAGGCCTAATTTACTCTGATTTTAGATTCTATAATATACAAAGTCATGTCTTATTTCAGTTAAATTTCAGGATGGGGATGTAACACATAGAACATTACCCAAATGTACTCAGGTATATACATCTTTGATTTTTTTTTTTCTAAAGACAAGGTCTTGCCAGGCGTGGTGGCACATGCCTTTAATCCTAGCACTTGGGAGGCAGAGCAGGCCGATCTCTCTGAGTTCAAGGCCAGCCTGGTCTACATAACGAGTTCCAGGCCAGCTGGGGCTACAGGGAGATCCTGTCTCAACAAAAAAACAAACAAAAGACGGTCTCATGTAGTCCATGCTAGCCCCAAACTTTCTATGTAAATGAGGAAGACTTTGAAACCCTGAGCCTCCTAAATTCTGGGATTACAGACATCACTACCATGCCCCACTTTGTGATTTGTGATTTTTATCAATTTTGGAACTATGTGCTGTAATTTTCACATTGTCTCAAAAGAATTTCATGAAGTAAGTGGATAGCCTTATTCTCTAGTTGGCATGTTTGCTTAACAACTCCAGATAGCTTGATTCCCAACAGTTAATGTGTTGGGGCCAGCACATGGAACTAGGTCTGCCTGTCAGATTCAAAGATCTGCTCCTTTAAAACTTAGGGCCTCCATTTCTGCCTCAGGTGATTGCTGTCTTTCTCAATTATCTTTGACAGGTTTTCTAGGATCTGCATTGACATTTTTCTAAAATCTCTAGTATGAGTTTATTACTTCAAAAGCATGGCATTAAAGGGCTGGAGAGATGGCTCCATATGTAATAGCACTTGCTGTGCTGAAGCTTGAAGATCTGAGTTCTGATTCCAGCACCTACATAAAAAGCTGGGTGTGGCTGTTCACCTGTGCACACACCAGTGTCGTCTTCTATGTGTAATAGGCATACACATAAAGAATTAAAATCATGTTATTTAAATAATTTTGAAGTTTATGTGTATGAATGTTTTGTCTGCATATATGTAAGTGCACCAGAGTCATGTCCTTTGGAGGCCAGAGCAGGGCGTGAGATCACCTGGAACCAGAGTTACAGACCATTGTTAGGTACCATGTGGGTCCTGGGAACCAAACCCAGGTCCATGGCAAAAGCGGCCAGTGCTCTTTAACTGTTGAGCCATCTCTCCAGCCCATTTAACTTTCAAAAGATTTTTCTAATTTGTGTATGTGAATGTGCAAATGTAGGTATGATCACTTGTGCATGTGTGGAGGCCAGAAGAGGGCGTTGATAGAACTGATGTTACAGGAATTTGCTAGATGCCTGCCTTGTTACATGAGTTTAGGGATCCAAACTGGTTTTGACGCTTGAGCAGCAGACACTCTTAAACACCAAGCCACCTCTCCAGCCCTCATTTAAATCATTTTAAAGGGAAACATTTTCTCTGCCTGGTGTATTGGTTCATAACCTCAGCATTTAGGAGGCTGAAGTAGGATCATGGGACACAGTCTGAGGCCAGTCTGGGGTATATAGTGTGTTCCAGACCAGCAGGCTACTGAGCACCAGAGTGAAAAAAACATGTTCCAAAAAAGAAAAGGAAATGGGGGGAGGGGAGGGAGTCAGATGGCTCAGAGGGTAAAGACACTAGCCATGAAAACCTTATGTCCTGAGTTCACACACACACACACACACACACACACACGTACGTTTGCTTGCGCTCAATTTACGAGTGCAGTGAGCTGCTTTCTCTTTCCTCTGAGCCCTGGTGGTGTATAGCAGTAATTGAAACTTTATCCTCTCCACGCACACACAGCCTGACACCGTATGTAATTTTACTACAGCCCCCAAATGTTGAAAGGTGGCACCACGCGGGCCTCACGGAGCCTTCCATTCCAGACTGTACGATTCAGCCTTTGGCGGCCACAGTAAACTATCTCCCCCTTCGCATACACAGACTGACAACACCCGGCGGATCGCGAAGCACGTATTCTGCAGCCGCCCACCCCTCAACTGGTCATCACTGCGCCTGCGCGTGGGAGCCGCCCGGTCTTTCAACCGCAGCAAGCCGGGGGACCCGGATGGAACCTTGCCCCGGCTGCAGCGGGCAGACTCCCGCCGCTGGGGTCCAGATCCCTGCTAGAGGGGCGGACCTGACTGGTTCCCAGATCCTGAACCGGGCGAAGAGCCGGAGCATCCTGACCTCGCCTGGGACTGGAGCTGTGCCGGACCACAGCTCGCCTGCACTGGAGAACCTAGCAATCAGGTCCTGTCCAGCGGTCTCCTAATTAAACGCCCGGCATCCCCGGAAGGTAAGTACTGTCATCCCCACCCGAGGAACTGAAAGGTCCCGGCCTGCCAGTGACAAAGCCAAGAGCCAGGCTGCAGCTGCCGCTCACGCCCAGAATTCCCACCCCTGTCCCAGAAGATCGCGGTTCCATCCTCTGCTCCTGCACCCGCGCCTTTCGTGAACTTGCACATTGTTACATACTGGTTGGGTTATATGTGGTTTGGAACTTGGGCTTAGAAGCAAGGGCACTTTGATGATTCCATTCCTGAATTGTGTGTGCGTGTGTACACATACACTTCTGTTGTGCAAACATTCACATTTAACTTTTTTTTTTCTCGTATCTATGTGTCATAAATTTGCTAAACATTGCACTTTGTGATGTCTGATCATTTATCTGTCTATCTAGACAGGGTCTCAGTGTATCCCAGGCTGGCTTCAAACTCACCGTGTTGCTGAGGAGGACCTTAAACTCCTGATCCTCCTGTCTCCACCTTCGGAGTGCTGGGGTTACAGGTGTGCCCAGCGCATGTGGTTTTATGCAGTGCTGGGGATGAAACCCAGGACTTTGTGCACATATTATACCACAGAGCCACATCCCCAGACCCTGTCTTATTTTTTATTCATCACTTTTAAGATTTCTTAAGACTACCATAACTATTCTGAAAGTGAATTTTATCTCGTAAGGTAATAGTTTTATTTTATGTATTACAGAAAACATCCCACATATAGAAAAGCCATGAGAATAATGTCTGCCTGTCATCTGACCTCAGTAGTTACCAAACCAAAGCCAATTTTATTTCTTTGATCTCCACACTACTCTGTGTCTGTGAAGTAAAATTTTTTAGAGGAAATCCCAGACATCATTTCGCTTGTAAAAAAATTACCTCTCTCTCTCTCTCTCTCTCTCTCTTCTTTAATCTCAGCACTTCAGAGGCAGAGGCAGGCAGATCTCTGAGTTTAAGGCCAGCCTGGTCTACATAGAACATTCTAAGCAAACCAGGACTACGTAGACTCTATCTCAAAAAAACAAAAATCATCTCTAACAAATGGAACCTTCAACACAACCATAATGTTATTCATAATGCATTCAAATCAGTTATTTCTCATGATGCTTTTTTAGTGTTTACATTTTTCAGGATATTGTTGCTCTTAATTACCACAAAGGAGCAAGTGAAAATTGTGAGGTTCTCAAATACAAGACTCTTGGCAGTAAGTTCATCTTTGAGGACTTGAAAGCTCTTGCCACTTATTCTTTCTTTCTGAGAGGGACAGAGAAGAGTATCATAACGATTTTCAATATTAAGAATATCAAAAGGATTTTCCAAGAAACATGTTCAAAGCAGGTATAAAAGGGCTGGGAATACAGCTCAGTGGTTGTGTGCTTACCTACTGTGCATGAGGCCCTGATTTCAATTCTCAGTTGGGAGGGCGGAGGTGGATAAAATCGTATTTGTGGCTTCATAGTAGCCCAGGCTGGTCACAAACTTGCAAGTCTCATGCCTCAGCCTCCCAAGTGCTGGGATTATAGGAGTGCATTATTATGACCAGTGGTTTGTAAGTTCTAAGATTAATTCAAGATCATGTAAGACAGGCTCCCAGTGCTTGTGAGGACTATTCTCTTCCTAAGAATGATCTAAAGTGATTTGAAATACAGCTAGTTCTGGACCCCTACTCCAGAGCTAGTGAATCAATCTCCAGGAGGAAGGCCTAGTGATACCCATTTCAGCCAGTCAGTCATATGATTCCTGGATTTACTCCACTGTCTTCTGCAACATGTCCTTGTTATTTCCATTGTTGCTCTGACTTCTATTTTGACTGGTTTTCCTGAGGGGTAGTTATGCAACTAAGCACCATGAAATTCCTTACTGCAGTTAAGTGAGTCCCCATATGAGAGTAATTTTCCTGAAATCTCAGTGACTTTGCTTTAATATATTTTATTTATTATTTTTATTTTTATGTGTTTGAGTGTATTGCCTGTATGTATGTGAGTGTACCTGTGTTGTGCAATACCTCGACTGGTTTTCCTGAGGGGTAGTTATGCAACTAAGCACCATGAAATTCCTTACTGCAGTTAAGTGAGTCCCCATATGAGAGTAATTTTCCTGAAATCTCAGTGACTTTGCTTTAATATATTTTATTTATTATTTTTATTTTTATGTGTATGAGTGTATTGCCTGTATGTATGTGAGTGTACCTGTGTTGTGCAATACCTTGGAGGTCATAAGAGGGTCATAAGAGTTCCATGATTTCCCTGGAACTGGAGTTAAGGACAGGTCATAGCCACCATGTGGGTGCTGGGAATCAAACCCGGATCCTCTGCATGAGCAGTCAGTGCTCTTAACCACTGAGCCATCTCTCCAGCACCATGACTTTGCTTTTTTTTAGATGGACAATAAATTGTACTTAGAGACAATTAAATTCTGAGTCAATTTCATAGTCTACCTTTGTGCCACAGCAGATTTAATTGGACCTAAAGACCTACTTGAAATTCTTGCTGAAGTTGGAATCAAAGCCACACAGGGATCTAATAGCTTTACATGACTATTTAATCTTTATTAAAAATAATGATCTACCTTGTCAAAAATCTGCCCTTCCTTGAGTATTTGGCAAATTATTCCTTTATCTATCCCATGATTTTTTTTTTTTTTCGGTCTCTTTGAGGCAAGATCTCCCTGTAGCCCCAGCTGGCCTGGAACTCTCTATGTAGACCAGGCTGGCCTTGAACTTAGTGATCCTCTGCCTCCCGAGTGCTGGGATTGAAAGAATGCGCCACCATGCCTGGCTTATTTCATGACTTTTAACCAAGTATATGTCCTTGGGGCAGAATGTAGGGAAGAAGGGTCATGAGATACAAAATATACCAGATTTATTTGTAATATTATTGAAAAAAACAAATCAAGTCATAAGAACAGTTTGCCAGTAAAGGACTCATGGGTGTTAATAACTTGTCTAAACCCAAATCACCTATGTTTGACTTGCTGCTAAATCATCTATGCCATGGCATTGGCTCTGCATTACTGCCTTTAAGTTGGACCGTCACACTGTCTGGACTTACTTTGAGCAGGATAGCATGTAGTGATAGAATAGCTCATAATGTGACCTTTTTTTTCATAATGTGGCTTTATTTTAACTCAGGTAGCCACTGGTTTTTAATGTATGGGCTATATTTTACTCCCAAAGGAAAACTCTATGTGGCTTCTCTGGAATAGTCTCTGAGAATTTGTGTGCCATGTCAAAGAAACGCAAATGGGATGATGACTATGTTCGTTACTGGTTCACCTGTACAACGGAGCAGGATGGAACTCAGCATCCACAGTGTGTATTGTGTAACTCCATATTTTCAAATGCTGACCTCCAGTTGTCAAAACTGTCAGACCATTTCAACAGACAGCATGGTGGAGTAGCCGGGCATGATCTCAATAGCTTGAAGCATACACCAGCACCATCTGGTCAGAGGAAAACTTTGAAAGCACTTGGAGTTGCATCTCATGAGGATGCCTTTTTACAAGCATCATATCAGTTTGCATATTTATGTGCCAAGGAGAATAATCCTCATACCATAGCTGAAAAATTTGTCAAACCTTGTGCACTGGAAATAGCACAGATTGTACTGGGACCAGATGCACAAAAAAAAACTGCAGCAGGTGCCGTTGTCAGATGATGTGATCCATTCTAGAACTGATGAAATGAGCCAGGACATCTTACAGCAAGTTCTAGAAGACATCAAAGCCAGTCCTCTTAAGGTGGGGATTCAGCTTGCTGAGACAACTGACATGGATGACTGCAACCAGCTAATGGCATTTGTGCGATATGTTAAAGAAAGAGTTGCAGTTGACCGTGAAAGGAGCAAACGTGTTCCATCTCTTCAGAGACTTCTTTCTGAAGCACAGTATAGCACTTGATATGTGCGGCTCTGTACGGATGGTGCCTCCTCTATGCTAGGAGAAAATTCAGAATTTGTTGCCTGTGTGAAAGAAGAGGCACCTCACATCGTGATCACACATTGTCTGTTGAATCCTCACACACTTGTCACAAAGACACTGCCTACCAAACTGAGGGACACTCTGTTTACTGTGGTGAGGGTAATAAATTTCATCAAAGGGCGGCTCCAAATCACCGCCTATTTCAGGCTTTCTTTGAAGAAATTGGAATTGAATATAGTGTCCTCCTTTTCCAAACTGAAATGAGGTGGCTTTCCCGGGGCCAGATACTTACCCATATTTTTGAGATGTATGAAGAAATAAATAAATTCCTTCACCACCAAAGCAGCAGTTTGACTGATGCCTTTGAAAAGAGTTTAAAATTCACCTAGCATACCTTGCAGATTTATTCAAACACTTGAATGAACTTGGTGTGTCTATGCAAAAGGACAGGCATGAACACAGTATCTGCCAGAGAAAAGTTATCTGCTTTCGTTAGGAAGCTTCCATTTTGGCAAAAGCGAATTGAAAAAAGAAATTTTACCAACTTTACTTTCCTTGAAGAAGTCACCGTAGCTGATACCGAGGGAGTGAGCATTTCAACCGACATAGCGCTGCATCTTCAACAGCTGGGCAGCTTTTGCAATGGCTATTTTGCAGTGGGAGATCTGGATGATGCCAGTAAATGGATACTAGACCCCTTTCTTTTTAATCTAGATTTTGTGGATGATGGTTATTTAATGAAAACTGATCTTGCTGAATTACGAGCCAGTGGCCAAATTCTAACAGAATTTGAGACAATGAAGCTTGAGGATTTCTGGTGTGCTCAGTTCCCAGTGTTTCCCAGCCTGGCCAAGACAGCGCTAGAGATCCTTATGCCATTCGCAACGACTTACCTTTGTGAGCTGGGATTTTCATCACTTTTACATTTCAAAAAGAAGTCCAGACGCAACCTTAATATGAGCGATGACATCCGCGTGGCTATTTCCAAAAAAGTTCCTCGTTTCTCGGACATCATTGAACAAAAGTTCCACCTGCAGCAGAAGTCACTGTGAGCTGACACACTTTTTTAATGTGTAATTTGTAATATATTCTTAATACCATTGTAAAATTGAGCTGTAATTTGATTTTCTTTCTTTTGATGTTTGTGATATATTGAATTTTGTGTTTTAAAAAGTTGGCGACTCTTTTGTTCTGTTTTGTTTTGTTTGTTTGGTCTTTTTCAGACAGGGTATCCCTGTAGCCCCAGCTGGTCTGGAACTCACTATGTAGACCAGGTTGGCGTTGAACTCACAGAGATTCGCCGGCTTCCACTGCCCTAGTACTGGGCTTAAAGGCATGCACCATCACATCCAGCTATGAAACTGTGTTTTAAGAATAAGAGCACAAGCATTTGAAAAGATTAAATACCAGAGCCTGATTGATACAAAAGATTTTTTGTGTGTGTAAATTTAAAACTTTTTTATTATTTTTACCGTATGTCTACAAGTGTTTTGCCTGCAAATATGTAGGTACACCATGTGCGTGCAGTACCCATGGAGGCCAGAAGAGGGCATCAGATCCTGGAACCAGAACAGATGGTTGTTAACACCATGTGGGTGCTGGAAATCTAACCCAGGTCCTCTACAAGAGTAACAAGTGTTCTTAACCACCAAGCCATCGCTCCAGTCCCTTGTGTGTAGCTTTTTAATGAAATATGGAAGAAAGTCATTGGACTTTTACTACATTGTAAGTTCAAGGCTAGCCTGGGCTGTGTGGGACCCTTTATAAAACAAAACCAAATAGCCAGATGTGGTGGCACACACCTTTAATCCCAGCACTCAGAAGGCAGAGGCAGGTTCAAGGCCAGCCTGGTCTACATAGCCAGTTCCAGGCCAACTGGGGCTACAGGGAGATCCTGTCTCAAAAACATCAACAACATCAAATAAAGCCCAAATAAACTAGACACCTGAACACATGGTAGGTAGGCCAGGAACAGAACTAAGAAGACAAAGAAGACCTCACACGATTCAGTGCAGAATAAGTGAGTCCTCCCTTATGAGGGTTGTCAGAGGTTGCTGTCCTCATACAGTATAGCAGAAGGAGGGGTATCTCATATAAGACTTATCTCTAGGGGCTGGAGAGATGCCTCAGTGGATAAGAGTGCTTGCTGCTCTTCCAGAGGAACAGAGTTCGATTTCCAGCACCCACATCAGGTGGTTCACAACTGCCTATAACTCCAACTCCAAGGGATCCAGCACCACCTCCTGGCTGCACATGTGCACTTCCCCATACACAGACATAAATAAAAATAAATACTCCTTTTCAAAAAGACTTATTAGGGGCTGGAGAGATGGTTTGGTGGTTAAGAGCACTAGTTGCTCTTACAGAAGACCCCAGCACTCACATGGCACCTAAAAAACACCCATAACTCCATTTCCAGGGGATCTGATGCCCTCTTCTGACTTCCGTGGGTATTGCACCACATGGTTGCACTTACATATACGCAGGCATAACACTCACACATAAAATTTAAAAATAAATAAGACTTATTTCTAATTTACTCTTTGGAGTTAGTCTCTGTCTAATCCCTTGTTTCCCATGCTTCTGTGATGCTGATAAATATCCTAATATATATCAGTCAGTCTGTATTTTAAATTACTTCAGCTCTCTAAGTCAAGACTGCCGAGAGAGAGGCTCCTGAGCTTTACTCTAGAGATTCTGATTGAACAGCCCTGCAGTAAGATGAAGACCCTCATATCTGACCAGCTTTCCAGATGATTCAGAGCAATACACAGGGATTCGCTGGTCCTTTGGCCTCATCTGCTTTTCCTACACTTAATCTTCCTTCACTCTAATTTCCTCACTTATATCACACCTGATATCTATTTTTCTAAGATAGTTCAAAACTTTTGAGTGAACCGGAGTATAAATTATGAATAAAATGACATAAAATCACAGCACTAGTTCACGGCTGTCAAAAAATTTCCCACGGGGGGAGGGAGAGGAGATGGCAAAGTTAGTAAAGGCCCTTGCCCTGTAAGACTGCAGCCTGAGTTCAGTCCCCAGAACCCATATAAAAGTAGAAAGAACTGACTCTAGAGTTGTCATTTGACATCCAAATGTACACTGTGGCATGTGTTTCCACACACACATCATACAACACTAGTAATAAAAATTAAAACTTTAAAAGATTCCCATGAGCCAGGTGTGGTGGCACATGCCTTTAGTGCCAGTACTCAGAAGGCAGAGGCAGGCAGATTTCTATGAGATTGAGGCTATCCTGGTCTACATAGAGATTTCCAGGCTAGCTGGGGCTACAGGGAGACCATGTCAAAAAAACAAAAACCAAAAAATCCAATGGGAATCTTAGAATACTCTCTGAATGATAATATTGGATAATATGGCAAATCATGTGTTTATATTTTTTCTTATTTATTCTTTTTATTTATGTGTATGAGTCTTTTGCCTGCATGTATATAAGTGCACCATGTGCATATAATGTGCCACAGAGGTCAGAAGAGGGTGTTGGATCCCCTGGAACTGGAGTTACAGATAGTTGTTAGCTGCCATGTGGGTGCTGGGAATCAAACCTGGGTCCTCTAGAAGAGCAGCAAGTGTTCTTAACCACTAAGCCATCTCTCCAACCCTGTATTTTTATATTTTAAAGGTTTACATTTTTATTTAATTTTATTTTTATATCATATGTATGAGTGTTTTGCCTGCATATATGAAGGTGCACTCATGCAAGCCTGGTGCCCATGGACACCAGCAAAGAGGTTGTTGGATCCCCTGATATGAGCGTGCGGGGATCTCGGGGCGCCAGCTGCTGGGCATGGCGCCGGTCTCCCTCACACCGCCAGAGTGGACGTGGCGCAGGTCGCGCACCACATCTGCCATTTGGGTCCTGGATCTCGCTGCTCTGTGGGTCTCTGCTACCGGGGCTGGCCTGGTCAAGTTCCACCCCAATTTCACCCGTGCACTTGGGTCTCTGCTACCGGGGCTGGCCTGGTCGAGTTCCGCCCCAATTTCACCCGGGCACTTTCTCTCTAACAGCTGCTGGGTCACGAGGAGAGGTGCGGGACGGCTAAAGCTGGGTTTCTGTGAGTCGATGATGGAAGGATAGCGCCCCCCGGGGAGGCTGGATCGTAGGCAGTAAGACACAGAACTCAGCTCAGTCAGTGGTACAGCCCCTTTATTCAGTGACTTAGCTCAGCTCCAAGTCTTGGTGATCCAGCTCTGATTTATTGAGGGGAAACCAGGATACTTATACTGTAGGGGCAGTGGTAAAAGCCTTAGCTGATAGGTACTTTTAGGATGCCTCATTTACATGTAGAGGTGGGCTCCTGCCAGGCACACAAGAAAACCTGGCGTTTTCAGAGCCAGAAGCCATGTTTCTGTGACGGCTACTTCAAAAGATGAGTCAGGAAAATGCCGGGAAGGCACCCTGCTGATAAAAGGAGTCTCTGCATATGAAGCCGAGCCCCTGGGCTATCTGGACATGAAGAGACTGCTACTTTACACAACAAGGGTCCCCAACACCCTAGAACTGGAGTTACAGACTGTTGTTAGCTGCCATGTGGGTGCAGGGAACTAAACCCATGTTCCCTGGGAGAGCACCCAGTGCTCTTAACTGCTGAGCCATCTCTCCAGTCCTGTCCCCTCCAGTTTTTTATGATAGCACTAATAACTTTAGTTCACTTGCTGGTTATTCATAGTCCTTTAAAGATTTTTCCCTCAAGAAATGGATCACATAAAAATAGATCAGAGATGTGCAGAAGGTTTGAGTTTTGTTTTTGCAGTATTAGAAACTGAACTCAGAGTCTTGCACATGCTAGGCAGGCTCCACCACTGAGCTACACCCCCAGCCCTCAACTTCATGGTAGTTTTTAAAAAAATGAAAGAAAACCCGAAGATGAATGGGCTCCGACTACCAAATGTAGATGCCACCTACACACTATAATGAGCGCTTACGTCTTTACACAAAACTCAGTGTTGTCAGTATGCATCAAAATTTTTACCGGCAAATGTCTTCTTTCATTTAAAGATATGGATACAAAACTATACACCCTAAGTTTTCCTATTAGAATCTAACATCAAGAGCAGAGGGAAATTTGTCCAAAGAAATAACTCTAGATGCTTGTGTGAGGGCTTTGGGGAACTGTTTGTTTCATTTTTGGTTTTTGAGACAGGGTCTCATTCTATAGCCCAAGCTAACTGGCATTCACTGTGTAGCCCAGGTGGACGTCAATTCAAAGTGACCCTCCTGCCTACTAAGTGCTGGGTTTCCAGGCAGGAACCACTGTATTAGTTACTTTTCTGTTGCTGTGATAAAACACTCTGACCAAAGCAGCTTATAGAAGGAAGAATTTATTTGCCTTATGGTTCCCCAGGGAGAGTTCGTAATGGGCAGTCATGGGAGCAGGAAACAGCAAGAGAGACAACTGAGAGCTCACACTTCCAAGCACACCCAGGGGTGGGGGGTGACTGAGACTGGAAGTGGGACCAGGCTACAAACTCTCAAAGTCCACGCCCCAGTGACATACTCCCTCCAGCAAGGCCCCATCTCATAAGCTTCTACAAACAGTGCCACCAACTAGGGACCAGGTGTTCAAATACAGGAGCCTATGGGAAACATTTCTCATTCAAACCATCACAACCACTGTGCCTGGCTTTATGTAAAGTTTAATGTGTGTATGGTTCTAAAGAGAAGGAAGAAGAGAGTAGGGGTGGGGACAGGAGTGTGTAGGAAGCCTGTGACTAACAGAGCTACCACAGTAGAACTAGGATGAAATGACCTTTGACATCGTTCCTCCCTCCTTCCCTTCCTTCCTGGGATGAAATGGCCTTTGACACCCTATCCTTTGATATCCTTTCCTTCTTTCTTCCCTCCCATCCCCCTGCCTCCCTTCCTTCCTCCCTCTGTCCCTCCCTCCCTCCTTCATCTCCCTGAAGCCTCAACTCACCTGGATGACATTATGAAACCAGGTTGGCCTCCATCTCTGCTCAGAGGCGCGTGCCACCACCCCAACTACACCCTCTCTCATTTAGTCTACTAATTAACTATTGCTCTAAAAATCCCAAAGAACATGTTTTTAATTCATTTTTAAGTTTCAGAAACTTATTTTCCCATTTATGAAAATGAAAAATAAAAGACTTTAGTTGGATTTAATTGAAAACAATCTCAGCAAGGTGTGATGGCTCA